TTGAGAGCGGGGTCGCGGTGTTTCATTCCGAAATTCGCCCCAGCCAATTCGCGCTCGTGTCATTTGTTCATTTCATCCAGGGTGAAAGTGCGGGGAATCACCTTACTAACTACGCCAGCCGACTCTCTATTTGCTGCAGCAACGGATAACGAATGCAGTTGGCCCGAGTCCTCTTTGCTGGCCGGGTGGCCCATGACGCAAATCCACTGCGAGTTTCAAGGTCTAGCTGCATGGGGACTGCTGCATAGCCAGCCATGATAAGCCGAGGAGAACCGCGGAGGTGAGGTGTATAAAGCGCCAGACTTCTTTCAGACACCACCGTCAGGAAAAAAAGTCAAATCCACTCCCAATTCAATCGCTCACACCATGTCCTTCCAAACCCTCGCCCTCGCCGCTGTTGCGGTGGTATATTTTCTGATCCGCTATCTCAATCGCACCGACGTTCCCAAGATCAAGGGGATACCTGAAATTCCTGGGGTGCCTATATTTGGGAACCTGTTGCAACTAGGCGACCAGCATGCGACTGTGACGAAGAAGTGGGCGAAGAAATATGGCCCCGTCTTCCAGGTCCGAATGGGCAATCGGGTATGTGAACCCGCCGTGAAAGCAAAGGCCGACAAAAGAGTCAAAATATGACTGACAAGAGTCTAATTGTTCCTCCAGCGCATTGTCTTCGCCAACAGTTTTGAGTCCGTCCGCCAACTGTGGATCAAAGACCAGTCGGCCCTGATCTCGCGCCCGACCTTTCACACCTTCCACAGCGTCGTGTCCAGCTCGCAGGGCTTCACGATCGGCACCTCGCCCTGGGACGAGTCCTGCAAGCGCCGACGCAAGGCGGCCGCCACCGCGCTGAACCGCCCCGCCGTGCAGTCGTATATGCCAATCATCGACCTCGAGGCCACCGCCAGCATCCGCGAGCTGTTCCAGGACAGCGACAGCGGCAGCAAGGACATCAACCCGGTCGCGTATTTCCAGCGGTTCGCGCTCAACACCAGTCTCACGCTGAACTACGGCTTCCGTATCAGCGGTAACGTCGACGATGAGCTGCTGCACGAGATCTGCGACGTCGAGCGCGGCGTCTCCAATTTCCGGAGTACCAGCAACAATTGGCAGGACTACATTCCCCTCATGCGTCTGTTCCCCAAGGCGAACACCGAGGCCGAGTCGTTCCGCGTGCGCCGCGATAAGTATTTGACGTATCTGCTGGATATTCTCAAGGAACAGATTGCCAAGGGCACGGATAAGCCGTGCATCACGGGAAACATCCTCAAGGATCCTGAGGCGAAGCTGAATGAGGGTGAGTTATCACGGATCGATTACTTTCCAAAGACAAAGTGTGTAGAACGAGATACTGACAATCACTAGCGGAGGTCAAGTCCATCTGTCTCACTATGGTCTCCGCCGGATTGGACACGGTTCCCGGCAACGTCATCATGGGCATCGCCTATCTCGCCTCGGAAGACGGCCAGCGTGTTCAGCAGAAGGCCTACGAGGAGATCATGAAGGTGTACCCGGACGGTGACGCCTGGGAGAAGTGCCTCGTGGAAGAGAAAGTCCCCTACGTGACCGCCCTGGTGAAAGAGACCCTCCGGTTTTGGACCGTGATCCCCATCTGTTTGCCGCGCGAAAGCACCAAGGATATTGTCTACAACGGCGCGACCATCCCCGCCGGAACCACCTTCTTCATGGTATGTTTTGATCTCCCACTTTGTTTCCGATTTATGATAAAAATCTTACTAAATCCATCTCCAGAACGCATACGCCGCAGACTACGACGAGGAGCACTTCGATAAGCCCGAGCAATTCCTGCCGGAGCGGTATTTGGAGGTGGGCGAGGGCACGGGCACTCCCCACTACGGCTACGGGGCTGGCTCGCGCATGTGCGCGGGCTCGCATCTGGCCAACCGCGAGCTGTACACCGCCTACATCCGCTTGATCACCGCCTTCACCATGCACCCGGCCAAGAACCCCGAGGACCGCCCGATCATGGATGCCATTCACTGCAATGCTATCCCCACGGCGTTGACAACGGAGCCCAAGCCCTTCAAGGTGGGATTCCGACCGAGGAATCCCGAGAAGTTGAAGCAGTGGATTCGAGAGAGTGATGAGCGGACTAAGCATTTGTGATTGTGAAGTATGTTTGAACTATGAGTCGTATAGTTGGGAGATCATTATACACATATTTTGCCGGTAGCAATTCTTTAAAAATTTTCAGATACATGGCAGGCCAAGGGGTTTCGGTACAGAGCCTTTTTTTTTGTTGTAAATCTTTAGTTATCAATAAAAATTATTAATTATTATTAGAGTGGCTAACAGCCAGGTCAGATAGGTTTATTAGAATTTTTATACCTAACCACCAGATTATAATTAAAACCCCGCAGCCGCCAATAATCCTCAGGAGCAGAATGTCGAGCGCTTGTGGAAGCTTCACAGCACTCTCCTCGAACAGATATACCGGATTGAAAGTCAGGCGATAAACTGAGCCGAGCTCTCCCTAAATGGGTCTTCGCTTGTTAGGCACTCATTTGAATCTCGCTTGTCCGATAATACGAATACACAGAGTGACCATTCGATGCAGCAGATGATGCGCTGTCAATAGGCCCACAGAATGGATCGAATGGCACTCTATCTGCTGCTTGAACACGCTATCTAAACCGTTCATTGACGAGTACCAAATTGCGATGGCCAAGATAGTGTTTCTAAATAGTGATTGTGAAGAGAAGATAAACCTTGGACTGACTGAATCACGTTCGGCTATGTTCCACATACGAAGCTCAGAACTTTTTGTTGCTTCGTATTCCCACTGTTGTTTTGAGACAACATCAAACCTCTTACTGTTCGTTCAATAATGGTGTCGCTTTTTACACTACAAGTCTGCACCAACTATACAAAGCCCCCCATCTTCCGGCTCCGGCGATAATATATATGCTTTGTTTACTGAGCTATCAAACTCTTTCGGTGCTGTCTTCATCTCCCGTGACTGCCCCAGAAAGGCGGCCACAATTCACGAGAAGGACGACGTTCTTCCACCATCAAATAGTGCTTGTTAACTGCCTACAGTAATCTCCCTGGAACACGTACACAGATGACGAAAAACTCCACAAGTTCTCCTGTGGCTCGTTAGAAGCTGCCTCTACCTCGATTGACAGCCAGCTTGGGACCTCCATTCAGGCAGTCCCAATAAATCAGCTCTCAGTTCCTCGCAATGAGCTCGGCACCCGGGATCCTGGCGCCGGCGACAATGTTGTGACCTTCTGTCAGGTGAATCACGGGGTGACATTTTCACCTCCGGGGAAGGTCGTTGAATATGGTCCGTATCCGGATCTTTTGTGATCGTGGATGAAGGAAAGGCAGCCCGGACCCCATAGATTGACGCGTATCAAGTTACATTTTCAGTAGCCCTCATGACTACAGCAGATCAGCCCTGGAGTACCTTTACCTCGCTCAACAAGCACATCACACTCGATGCCTAGCCCGCACCCCGCAGCCTCTAAACCACGCCCACAATGAGCCCGTCGACTCGCTTCGACGACCGACTGTATGTACTCTCAAACGTCTCATCCTCACCCACACATATCTTATAGGTCGTCCGCGCATATCGCTCTGCCTGATCGGCCAGATCGGGAGCTATATCGCTGTACGCGCGGCAAAGGATCATCCAACACCCGACCAGACCATCCATGATCAAGCCCCATTCCTTGACGACCAAAGTTGTGCGGGGCTCGCTCTGAATCACATAGCCAAGCGACTCAAATGTCTTGAGCGCGAATTCAAGTGCTTTCCGTGGCTGACGGCCTGTGGCATGTACCGCCGCCAAGGTGAGATATGCGTTCCAGACCCCGAGCCGGGGGACCTGAGCAGCCGGCGAACGATAGGTCCGCTGGATGTCAGAAATCATCCTTTCGATTCTCGCAACGGCTGCGTTAGACCTGCGGCCCGGGGCCAGCGACCTGAAGGCCGTTTCTACCTCAACCAGAAGCTTTCTTCGTCGTGCCAGATCACCGCTCCCGGTCGCGTGCCGGTCCTGGCAGATTGCGCAGCTACATTCGAAACCCCAGTGTTGCAAGTCGAGACGTTTCGTTGGCGGGTCCTGGGCCGAGGGCGCTCGATACCAGAAGGTTAGCTCCGTGTCAGCGGGGAGGTCACGCGTGGCGCGGACTATCATCATATCCCCGATGAAGGCACGGCGCACGTTGGAGCAGCAGGAGTGGTTGATGTACGATGCAAGAGCCCAGACACCGCAGGAATGAAATCGCACCTGGGATGTTGCGAGCTGTCGAGCCGTGGATTCGTCTTTCATCGAGGATACGTGGGTCGTGCGCGAAGAGATCGGGCAGCCAAAACAATTCAGGGAAACGGCTCGTTCGATCAGGAACCTAGGCAAGATGTGGGTTATCCATCAGAGCTGGCAGTCTTCCCCCCCCCCTGCAACCTGGAGGGCTCCTTACGTGTCAATCACAGGCGTACCATCGACCTCGGAGATGTTGGTAGGGATGTAGGAACCATGATACAGGTCCTTCACTACCGCTATCAAGGAAGGGTTCTTGTACAACCTCTGCGCGATCGCACTGATCAACTCGGCTTGGGTGCCCACCGTCATCGTCTGAGTCTCGGTGTTCATCAAGAGCGAGATCTCAGCATCGGAATCGCCCGCCTCACCATGAAATGCATGGGCGAAGGCCTTTTCACAAAGGAGCAAATCCCCGGCCCGGACGGCCTCGGTCGTGAAGAGCCCGCGTCCATGAAGTTCCGACGCACGCACCGAAACAGGGCCAACATATGTTGCGCGGTCGAGACGGGGAGGACGGCGCTTGTCCGCCTCGCGCTGCAGTCGTTTGAATGGGTACTTGCCGAGCTGGCTCTCTGTCAAGCGGTCAGTGGCTCTGTCGAACTCCTGTTTTGCAGCAACGTTCTCTGGATATAACCGACGGAGAGTATGGTGGGTGGCGCAGGAGTCTGGAAAGCGCTGGAGGTGGTAAAGGGCCTGCGATTTTCGAAAGAGGCCTTTCTCCGAGGGGTTGAGCAGAAGGACTGGCTCGACGTCCCGAAGGGCTGCATCAAATTGATGGGTCTTCAGGCACGCCAAAGCACGGTTGAGCCGAATGGTGTTTTGCTCCTCGGCAGACGGAGAGGAGTTCAAAGCCTCGGTGTAGCTGTAGTGTCGTCAGTCTTTCTCCCTCCCGTCAGAAGGCCATCCTCGGGACATACCAGTCGATTGCGAGATGGTACGCGGATTGGGCAAAAAGGTCATTCCCTCGGGTCTTCCAGTCAGTTGCAGAAGCTTCAACACCTGGCCTACGGCTCCATTCTGCCGGTATCAAAGGGTCAGAGTCTGATAGGAATCTGACATCGGAGAGATGGTCAACGCGGAGACCGTAGTCTCCATCAGCCATGATCTTCAAGTACGGCTCTTTGATCACCATCACCGTTCCCTCAACAAGTCGGCCGTCAGTCGCTAAGCTCTTCTCCTGATTGTAGAGCTGCAACATGACAACATCTCCTGCCTCATCTTCCACCACAGCCATGATCGCCGTCATGCGATCGGTCGGGGTGACCGCTCTGACCAGAAGATACAAACCACGATGGTGAGTCTCCAAAGTGAGATTGTGGATCCGGGTCTTTTTGAGCTCCCGCAATGCTGCAACGGATGGATGGTAGGCTGGGGGCACAAATGAGGATCGGAGATTGTGCGGCTCCACCGGTCCCAAGTTTCCCATCATCTGGCGAAACATGAACTGCATGATGATCTCGTTGCGAGTCTTGGTCCGGCGAGGAGTCTGACCTTTCCGCGACTTGGCATTCTGCAGATTTCGCTTCTGGGTCTGTAAGAGTTGGAAATATCCGCGTTCCTGCGAGACGTCTTCCACGTCCATTTTGGATATTCAATGAGTGGACGATGACTATATTTCGACTTTTAGCTACTGGTCCCGTTGGTATCGAATGTGCTCATGGCAATTATGAACGGTGGGGAGAAGAAGAACAAGAAGAAGAAGGAGGACACAACTGACAGCCACCAGGGCGTGTTTCTCGTAGCCCCCTCAAGCCCAGATATTTATAGCAGTGCTTCCGCGTAGCATCCAAGCTCTACAAAGGAGCCCCGCTACACCTATTTGTCATGTTGTTCTCTGGCCAACATACACATTACCGCTATTGGTTGCTCACCAGAAGCCTCTTTGTGACTCCATAGGTCAACAAAATGCAAAGGGTTGCATTAACGCCTTGCCATCGGACTAGCTAAGTAGGCGCCAACCGCAGGGGGTAAGCACTAACAAAAAGTACGGCGAGCACGATGCCACTTCCTTTCTAGATCCCCTGTATAGTTTCCCTCCACATTATCGTTGTAGTTGGATGTTTACCCCTCTTTTACCCGCTCAGGCTCAGTACTGATATGGTCTGGTGACAGAACGGAGTTCAGATCATAGGCGGTAATTACTCGCACTAGATCAAGGCTGATAACTTGGTTTCTTTTTTTTCTTTGCGATGTTGGCTCCGGGCATTGGGAATTTCCAGAGCAGCGATTGAGTTTGCACCGCATGTTCAGGCTTGATTTACACTCATTTAGTAGAGATACGATATCCTGCCGGAAAAAAGAAGAACTGTAAGGTTGAGAGAGGCTCTATCGATAGATTCAGCGTTGGTTCTCAAAGATACTTGCTCGGAAGTTGCCTGAAGAGTTCATATACTATGTGCAATACACCGATCTATCCAGAAAGTGCAAGACATCAATATAGTTTGGGACTGATTTTCACAAGTACCGACATGTCACTGGCAATCACTTACTCGCCTTCACCATATTTTATGAGTTTTATTTTCCCGTGGCTACAGAGCTCTAGTGCAGTGATACTCTGCTAGACGTCATAGTCACCCTTCCCGGCGGTTATACCAAAGCCACCTCCTCCAAGGCTGCCATATACTGTAGAGACCAGCATGAGTTGACGTCACTTATGGAGCTTGGCTGGCAGGTATCAGATAACTGGTCGTGGAGGACTGCGAAGATCGCACCTCAGAAGATAACTCGCACACCGTATTCGAGGACAATTGACACGAGGTCCCGGACGCAAAAGCACTTGATGACTTGGCTGGCAGCGGCAAGATTTGTCAAGGGGTCTCGAATTCGGCATATGAAAAAGTGATTAAGGAGGTCGAGTGTCGCCCTTCTACTGTGTTGCCTGACTTGAGAGACCGGGAGCTAGAGGCCTCGCAGGATTAATTCAGAGCCTAGGATGAGAAGCTGAAACTCCCTTGGAGAGAAGGGTCAGGAGCAGGGACAACCAGGCTAATATTTGTCTTCTTTCTTGACTCTTCACTGCCATTATTTTCCTTTTGCTGTTCCAAATTGGATATCGAGCTGAGGATCTTCAGGGCGTCAAAGAATGACCAATGATGAACATCTGAAAAGGCGGTTTCATGGTCCAGGCATGGGCTTTATAGAATAACGGATTTTTTTTAAACAAAAAAAAAGGTATTGTAGGTTTTAGCTATTATTAGACAGTTTAAATTCCAGTAGTAAGGGAGTGGGCGGTAAGCCTCGGGTGCGGAATCCCCCGCACGGGGCCTTCCGTCCTTCTGACCGCCACCGCGTTTGTCTTTCCCCGCGCTACGCCCGGTCGGAGCACTACCTAGCATCGTCTGTTTACCGTCTCGTCCATCCTCCTCCGTCTTCTCCGCACTCGACTTCTCGCGCGCAGTCACTTCCACACCCCATCATGGACGCTACTGCCACTCTAACAACATGGGACTTCTCGCCCCAAGCAGCACACCGGGATGACTCTGACGGGGCCAACCCACGCAAACGACGACGAAAGTACATCGCCAAGGCTTGGTAGGTGCATTTCCCCTCCCTCCTCCCTCCCCTTCTTTTCCCCAGGTACTGTACAATTGGGTCAAGGTCAAGACTAACATACCACCAAGCAACGAATGCAAGCGCCGTAAGATCAAGTGCAATGGCGAGACGCCTTGTCAGCGATGCGGCCGACAACGCATCGACTGTATCTACGACAAGCCCCCTCGTCACACCGATGGCGAGTCGGATCAACAGTACGTTTTCGCGCCTACACACCCACCCACACACAGCCACACGCCCCATACGTGTGAGTGAAAGATTCACCCATGCTGATAACACGCCTAGGGTCTACCTCGAGCAACTCTGTAATCAGATGTCTGCCATGCAGGAACAAATCAAGACCCTCTCCGCAGCTTTCACGACCTTAACGCAGCACAGCATCACTGCCACCGCCATCGCGGCGCGGTCGGACGCCGCGGCGGCGGGGGCGGCGGGCAGCCAGCGACCGTTTCGTCGCCGCCGGTCCACGGTCAGGGAGACTGCGTTCCAGGGCCCAACGACATCCGCCTTCAGCTTGCATCTCGCCAAGTCGAATCTCCTCCGCCAGGGGATCGTCGAGCAGACGGATGGTGCCGCGGAGGGCGATGCCGATGCTGATGCTAACCACCCGCCTTCGCCGCTGCCGCCGGATTCGCCTGGGCCGGCGGCGTTGCTGGGTGCGGCGCGGCCCGAGGGGGATCCGCTGTGGTCGTTGGATAAGGCGGAGGCGATGCGGTTGTGTCGCGTGTATGAGGAGGAGATGGGGATGATGTATCCCGTCTTGGATTTGCAGGACTTGCTGGATCAGGTCGAGGTGGTGTATGGGTCGACGGCGGCGCGCCCTGGGGGTTTTCGGGCGGCAGTACACGCAGATGACGTCCAGATTCTGCGGTTGGTCTTTGCGTGTGCGCTGACGGCTGAGGCGGCGGGGAGCAGCGAGCTGGCAATGCGGCTGTTTGAGAGTGTGCGTGAGGTGGCTGATAATTGCGTGTGGGGACCGTCGGAGATTAAGAGTATCATCTTGTTGACGCTGGTTGTGAGTGAACTTGGAGCTGGGGGCTGATGTATGGCTGACAAACGCTCCAGGCAATTTTCTACTTTCAGATCGACGAGGAAATCCTGGCCTGGCGCATCGCTGGCATCGTGGAGCGCATGTGCCTGGAAAGGGGGCTGCACCGACGGGAAACGCTTGGCCAGCCGGCCATTGTCGCCGCAGGACGGGATCGCGCTCTCCGGCTGTTCTGGTCGATCTACATCCTTGACATCCGGTGGAGCTTTGGGACAGGCATGCCGTTCTCTCTCGAGGATAGCGACATCGATCCCTGGCTACCGGAACCGGAGGAGAAGACTCCCTACCTCCGGGTCATGATCCGGTACAGCCGCATTGCGGCCAAGGTGTGGAAGTTTATCTCGGCCTTCAACAATACAAACGAGATCAAGAAGGAAGAGATGAATTATCTGGACTGGCAGGTCCAGCAGTGGGTGATGAACATCCCGGAGATCCTGCGTCTGGAGCAGCCGCCGTTGTCGGCCTCGAAGACCGAGCCTAAACCACCGCGCAGTCTGCATCGCCTGCGTGCGCTGCTTTACCTTCGCTCCAACCAGCTTCGCATGCTCATCCATCGGCCCGTGCTTCACTCTGCCGCGCATATCGTGCGGTACCCGGCTGAGTCGCAGATGGTCGTCGATCTGGCCAGGGAGACAATCCGATTCATCACGCGACTCAACGAGACAACAGATATCTACCGTCTTCAGCAGGTGACCTTCAACTGGTTCCTCGTTTCGGCTGTCGCGGTGCTGTTTCTGGCTGTCGCGCAAGCCCCGTCACAGTTCAGTAGCGCCTGTCGTGAGGAATTCTACATGGCGCTGGAACTTATCAAAGGCTTCTCGACGAAGTCCTATATCTCACTCCGACTGTGGAAGTCGATTCGGAGCTTGAGGAAGTTGGGGCCGCAGGTTATGCGTCGGCAGCCTGAGGCAGCGGAAGCTGGGCCTCAAGGTGCAAATGTGCTTAACTCTGCAAGGGAGCATGAAATAGAGCAAGCGAGTGGCGGGGTTGAGCCTTCAATGCAGTCAAAGGGCAGTATCCAGAGTCTCACGCCGGTGGATGGGGTGCAGATGACGAGAGAGTTGATGGAGTGGTTTGAGGCGGTTGGAAGTTTGGAAACACAGATCATGGGGATGGGGGCGCTGCCGCCGCATCAGGAGACCGACGTATGGGAGAGAAGTGGACAGTATATGGTTGACTACGGGGGCGAGCTGTCGAGCGTGATGAAGGATTGCTTCTGAGAACCGCCTCATGTGATTCTCCACGACTGATACTATGTACACAATATGAGGTCCGCAGCATACTTGTTACTCATCTTTCCAGAACACTCTTCCCTCAAACAGCCTCCGCGCGGTTGAAAACACGCGACCAGATTGCAGACTGCCATCCTCGGCGAACTCAGCCCCCACCAACATGTTTCCACTGGCATGTCCAATAGTGATCCCGGCAGCATTGACCGTCTGTCCCCGTTGCACAACCTGCGACACGGTGCTCCCTTCCACCCTCGCCGCGGTTGCCAGGGACAAGGCCACCGTGATGGGCAGTGCCTTATGGGGCTGGCCCACGGAGAGCGCTCTGGCCACCAGATCGACCTTCTGCGGCGTCTGACCCTTGGCGACCGAGCGCGCATCCTCCCCGGGGGCAGCGACCAGAGCGATCTTGGGAATGCTTCCGGGCACTTCCTCAGGCGATGCTGCGATCCCCATCTTCACGCCGGCCAACCTCCGGATGCGATCCAATTTCTCCAACAACCCCACGTCGGCCGTCAACTCCTCCGGCGTCAGGTTGCTCTGGACCCCGAGCTTCGCCGCGGAGACAAAGACACACGGGTTGGCGACATCGATACACGTCGCCTCCACTTCCCCCTCGACCTCAAACACATCCACCACATTCCCCGTCGGGAGCAACTGGCCCGTGACCGAACCGGCGGGATCCACGAAATCGAGCTGCACCCGCGCCGCCGTGCCCACCACCCCATCGATGGCGAAATCCCCACTCGTCGCCGCCTCATACGCCGGCCCTTCCCCCTTTTCCGACCCCGATGCACTCTCCACCACCGGGAAGGTAGAATGAATAATCTTCCCCGTGTTGGTATTATGGATCCGCACCGTCACCTCCTGATCCCCATTCACCCGCGGCGCCCGCACCAACCCCGCATCCACGGCGAACGGCCCCACCGCCGCACTCATATTCCCGCAGTTACTCGTCAGATCGACCTTGTCGTCGACCACCCCGACCGACACGAACGTGTAATCCACGTCCGCGGCCGGGTGCGAGGATCCGGCCCGGATGATGCAGATCTTGGATAGGCTGCTGATGCCCCCGCCCATCCCGTCGAGTTGGCGCCGGTGCGCGGCGTCGGGGCTGCCCAGCACGGCGCGGTAGATGGCGGGGTGGGTGGAGGCGTCGGCGGGCAGGTCCGTCGCGTTGAAGAAGACGGCGCGGCTGGTGCCGCCGCGGTAGTAGGATGCTGGGAGGGAGCGTTGGGGATTTGTTTTGGGGGTGGCAAGAGGGGCGGTTGTGGTGAGTCGCCTTTTGTTGAATTTTGGGAGGGGGGTTTGGGGAGGTGGCGGAGGGTTGATTTTAGCATTTTTTTTGTTGTGTGTACTGTATGTAGACTTTGAGATGTGGTGGGTTGTTGTTGTGTTTGTGGTTGTGGTTGTGGTAGTGGTAATGATACTGGTGTGGGATTGGATTGTGGTGGTCAAAGTATGGTTTAATTAGATCTGGGGGAGAGGATGGGTTTTGTACTGTACCTAGTGGTTGACGGTTACAGAATGTTTCAAGTTGTGTCTAGGTATGGTATGGGGATGTGGGGGTCTGTCGGATGCTTCCGATGTTGCGGTGCTTGGCTCCGCTGCTTGGTCGTCGGTGGTCGGATGGGTCCGAGGCTTGGTCTGATCTCAAACACTATTCCCAACCATGCTTGATCTTCAACATACTGCAACTCGATCCAAATAGGTATTTTATCTAAGTTGACGTTGTCAGTAGTAGAGGTATGTTCAAGCCATGCCCTTCCATTGATCTCAGCAATAGCACATAATCCCCTGAAAATCATATATCCAATATACCTACCTACATCCACCCCCCAAACCACAACCAACCTACTTTTACTTACTTCCAAAACCCCCCCTCAACCACAAAGTCCACCCCACCAACCCCGCCGCCACCGCCATCACCGCCGCCCCAAACACCCACGTCCCCTGATACTCGACTTGTACGGGGACCCCCTTCCCGATTTGTCTCGCCGCCCCCGCGATCGGATTCCCAACCAACGCCCCCACCGCCGCAACCGTGTACGCCACCCCGATCCGTGCGCCCACCTCCGACACCTCCCCCGGCAAATTGGCGATGATCGCCGGCGGTAGGGACACGATACTCCCCGACACGAGGCCGTAGATCGCGACGATGACCACCAGGGCGGGCAGGGTGGTGGCGAAGCGCCAGAAGAAGAGGATTAGGGACGTGGCTAGGCAACCGGGCAGGGCGAGGGGGAGGCCGCCCCATCTTTTGATTATGTTAGTTTGGGTTGATGGTGTGGAAAAGGGGAGGGGGAGGGGGGTAAAGTTGGGGGTAAGGAAGGCTAAGGAAGACTAAGGGAAGGGAAGGGAAGGGTAAGGGCCGGGCTACTAACCGATCAGCTAACCAGTTCGAGCCGATGCGGCCAAATAAGCTGGTTGCGTTCATGATGCTGAGCAGGTAGAAGGATGTGTCTGGGTCGATGGAGAGGTCGAGGGCGTAGTCTTCCACGTAGAAGAAGGGGATGTAGACTGAGGCCATCATTGCTGTGAATGCTGTTGCTTTTGGTTAGAATCATGGGGTGAATGATGGCGGGGGGATTTGGTATGGGCTGAAGGGCATACCGGCGGTGAAAGATACAAGGCACGAATCGGAGATGAATTTTCTCCACTGCAGGGGCGCGCGCTTAGCATGGCCGGGACGGAGGCGCATCACCGCGGCGCAGGTGATGGAGCCAACGAGCATGATGAAGGCGAGCACGCGCACGGCCCAGGGAAACCCGATGCTGACGATCAGTCGGCGGAGCATGATTGAGTAGATGATTCCCGCTGCATGGGGCTCAGCCTCAGCCTCAGGTGGTGAACTTGCACAGAGAGGGAACGTTGAGGCGTACCTAAACTACTCCCCGTGGCCGCAATCCCCGTCGCCAGCATGCGCTTCGCCGAGAAGTACAGCGGCAGCACCGCCACCGAGGGCACGACCAGCATCCCGCTCCCGATCCCCACGCAGATCCCCTGCGCCAGGAACACCTGCCAGTACGCGGTGCACAGCGAGACCATCAGCATGCCCAACACCTGCAGGGCGCTGCCAGCGACCACCAGCAGTCGCAGATGGCCCCGGTCCATGATCGAGCCGACGGGCAGCCCGATCGCCATCATGAGGAAGAGCTGCACCGAGCCGATCCAGGCGATCGCCGACGGGGTGTAGTCGGCCAGGAGGACGGTGGTGTAGTGGGTTTCGAAGACGCCGTAGGAACTGGTGAGACCCCTGGTTTTGAGCGGATTACTTGCTGGTAAGTTTGGCACGGAAACAATGTGAAGACGAGATGACGGACCAGGTGTTTGCGAAGATCAGCCAGCTGCCCAGGACTTGAAGCCATGCGGTCAGGCCGCCGTCCATGCGGTGCTTGGGTTCGGGGGTGGAGTCGTGGTCCATGGTTTTTGTCGGCCCTTTTGCGAGACTGTCTTGGACTTCTGTGGGATTTGGTTGAGGAAGCATCATTTAAGAGATCATATATCGCTGCTCGATCCTACAATTCCGAAGGGGAGCATTTTGAATCCGATGCCGTGCCCGATGCCGACGGGAGGATGAGGTGGATCATTGCGCATACTTATGCGGGCAAGACCCTGACTGCTCTCGGTGGACCGTCCAGCCTTTTGTCGACGATCAACATGTCATTAAGCAGATAGTGTCATTCGGTCATGCTGCTAAGAGCCGATCATCAACAAATGAGATCAGACTTGGGATATTTCAAAGTGGGGAGGGGGAAATGCAGCCACTCACATCCTCGGGTCGGCCAATGCCGATGACCCTTGCATGATCGCGATCGGCGGCGGCGATGTTTGCAGCGCTGCTTTTCTCCATGCGATAACGCCGGTGGGAATGGATCACCGGCTGTTGTCAATAGTCTATGGCGGCCTTGCGGTGTTATTATGCAGCGAATTGGGGAGTCATTTCGACATGCCCCTGCGCTAGTGTCGCAGTAGTTTGTGTGGAGCCAGATGCTAGTAGATGCAAGTAGATGCATCCGAAGGTCTGATAGAAGATAAATACCTCCGTTTGACCGTCTACAGTCTACAGCGTACTCGGATGTCTTCAATGCGTGCGATACAATCGATCCATTCAATTTCACGGATCTCTATTACCGTGACAGCTCTCAGAGTCTGCACGGGTAATGGCCGGTGTTAGAGGCTTGGCTCCACTTTCTTCTCTCCCTGCTTCAATCTCTTGAGGTGATCGGCATTGATGATGACCTGTTGCAGGAGCCCAGACCGGGATCTGCAGCCGAGGATGTAAGCCTGAAAGAAAAGGTGTCTATCACAAATACCCGGTCCTCGGACCTTCATTCTTCCGTGGTTCTCCTGGTCTGCATTTTATCTCGTGCTGCATTCAATTCGGCTCCTGTGCAGAAACAACTTTCATGGGGACCTGTCCTGCTGCAAATCAGATTGCTTGAATTGCTTGAGGTGCAGTGTGAGATGTGCCGGAGCACAATGATTTGCGGTTGCTTCCCATAAAGATCATGTGACTCATCCTGAACCTGCTCTCAACCGTGGTCTCATTGAGTCTCACAAACCCCAGATCAAATGCTGTCAGGAGGCTTCTTGCTCATCGAGCTTTGGAACATGCTTGTCCTCTATGCAATGGTCAGTAACTGCACAAGTTTCACTGCTACACTGACAGCTGTTGCTTGCATACTACCCAAAGTTTATTTGTGGGGCGCCGAATTAACAAAGTCATCTTTAGCGACCAGTTCCCCTGGTCAAGAAAGAAGGCGTACGTATCCTTGTGGGGGCTTCAAGACTCTGGGCTTACTTCTCAGGAGATGAAGCCGAGATGCATCGCTAGTTATACGCCACATAGCCTACTGAGCCACTCCAGAATCGAGACACCGAGTTTTCGGAACGAGGCACTTGTTAATGAAGATCTATGTCTCGGATGGCCAGGTCGATTGTGTCTGTAATCAACCAAGACAGTATGATTGTCGACAACAAAGTGAAACCTACCGTTAACCACTCGCCTGCAACAAGATACAGCGACACGATTTGCATGTCCCAGTGTGATAGAGCAGGCGGCTGATATCAACTGGGAGAGATGTCCATGCTAAAGAGACGTCAGTTTCACAGCTCGTTTCAGGATTGGTCTCCTCGTAACCTTACGGGGTATAAGGAGCATATGACTCCTGCGCAACACTTCAGCCTCCGATTGACACTATTCTTATACCTGACGGGTCGAATCATCGAGTCAACTATCGAGGCGTTGTATCGCGGCTGAGAAGACAGGTTACGGCCTCACCAATTGGAGGTCTCCGCTGATCCCTTAGTGTCGGGCCGCTTTGCCCGTTTGTCACGAACACGAACGCCTCCGTCGCTTAGGACTCCCAGTTGATGGGGAGGCAGTGGGGCCACCCCAAGGCTAGAAGCCGATAAACCCTCGCTGCGATACCCGTGGTTCCACGTGGTGGGGACCCTTTTGCCTCTTCTCTTTGGCTGCCCTCGCCTCCAATTCCCAATTTTTATCCCTTTTATCTTGTTCCTGATTTTGTCGTCTGATCGTCGTTTTTTGTTTTTAAAGCTTCGCTTCTGTCCTTGCTTCATGTCTTCCTCATACCCTCTTTGCCTTTGCAATTCGCTTTGCATGTAGCCATTGTCAAGCCATGCTCTGCTGACCCCATCATGCAACTGTCGATCTTTCTTTAAGCCTCACACTCGCTATATATAGACTTTTCATTCGTCGCGAACACAATGCGCTCACTTTCTTTATCCTCTTTTCTGCTCCTGCTTCCTTCCGTGCTTCCTTCTACGCAAGCTGCGGACACGTTTGACGTCACTCGCGATGATGACCTCCTCTCGTTTGTCACTGTACGTCCCCAGTATATCAATGCCCCCCCGGACCCCAGACTGACCGTCTCGCTCGCAGATGCCAAATGTCAAGGCAATCAAATACAATATAACCTACCACGATCGCAGTCGCGTAAGCCCCGGATACTGGTTCGTTGCGCCGTACAGTCACCTGGACGCCGACCCTTACAACAAGAAATACAATCCCTGTCAAGTGGGACCTCACATCTACGATCAGGACGGCAAGCTGGTCTGGACCGGATCTTGTCTCCACAACAACCGCAATGTCTTCGACTTCAAGCCTACGAACCACATCGCCGATGGTGCCACCCATCTCTCATTCATTCTCCAAAACAACTACATCAATGACGGCACGCCGTTGGCCAAAGGTGCCGCGTACATACTCAACGACAAATACTTGGTGGAGAACACCATCCCCATCACGAACGACCTAGAGCGGTGGGATCTGCACGAGTTCAATGTTCTTCCGGGCGGGAAGACGGCGTTGGCGGCCTCGATCCGGATTCAGGACCAGTCCCTGGCGGAGTTGGGCCGGCCGGCGGAATCGAGCCGAGTGGCTTCGGGGGGGTTTGTGGAGATCGACCTGGCCACCAGCGCGGTGCTCTTCGACTGGGACTCTCGCGACAAGATCCCCCTCCACGAGTCGGACCATGTGATGCCGTGGTCGCCGCCCGAAGGGGGAGGAGGTCTGGACTACATCCATGTGAATGCGGCGGACAAGAACGTGTACGGCGACTACCTCCTGTCGGCTCGCTACACCAGCACCATCTATCTGATCTCCGGGCAAGACGGGCACATCATCTGGCGCCTGGGCGGGAAATACACCAACTTCGCGATGGATTTCACCTTCTCCAAGCAACACAACGCGCGATTCGTCTCCGCCAACGAGACGCACACCGTGTTGTCGTTCCTCAACAACGCCTCCGACGACTTCACCAACCAAGAGGACGTGTCCTCTGGCATGATCGTCGAGCTAGACACCGTTCGAATGACCGCGACGCTGCGGAACCGCTACACCCGTCCGGACGGTAGCCTGAGTCGCATGCGCGGCAACCTTCAGCGACTCGAGGGAGGCAACGTCTTCATGGGCTGGAGCGCGCAGGGCTACCACAGCGAGCACGCCCCGGATGGCACCGCGCTCATGGAAGCCAAGTTCCTCTCCCCGCGCTTCAACAGCTACCGGTCGTACAAGTTCCCGTTCGTCGGCCACCCCCAGCAGCCGCCCGCTCTGGCCGCGTCCGTCTACGCCAGCAAACCCAGCCAGGCGCATCCGTCCGCCGCAGGCGCAGCCACGTCGAACCCCGAGCTGACCACCGTCGTCCACGTCAGCTGGAACGGTGCCACGGAGGTCGCCGTTTGGAACTTTTATTCACAAGCGGACGAGACCTCCGTCCCTTATCTGATCGGCAACGTGACGAAGCACGACTTTGAGTCGGTCTTCGTCACCCCGGGCTACTGGGACTTTGTCTCTGCCGAAGCGCTCGATCGCAAGGGGAACTCCCTTGGCTGGTCGAGGATCATCCGCTCCGAGATCGAAGGAGCTCTGAAGTACGCATCCGAGGATGGGGAGCAGCTGCTCCTCTTTCCTGATGATCCCGCTTCGCTGGTGGCTGTCGAGCCTGCTGTCGAGGAGATTGTGGTGGACCCGGCCCCGCTGGTTGAGACCATTGTCGTGGACGAAGAGATGGCTCATGAGGAGCCCGAGCACGTCTCCGATGCAGACGATCTGTTGCGAGCCATCAACGATGTGGTCATCGGCATGATTCTGCTCGCTTGCTTCGGGACGATTCTGATCTTCTGGTGGACGCGGAGGTTCAAGTGGCGGCCACACCGGTATCTGCGGCTGGCCTCTTCTCCGTTGCATAGCCCGGCGGTATGACGAGGGACTGTCGGGTGTACGGCACTTCCTACACTGTCATTCATAACTGTTTATAATGATATCTTGCTGTCGTTTGAGCGTGGAGTCGGTAGAGCATTGAGAGATTTTGTATCCGTCACGTTTCAGGTATCTGCACAAACGCTCGACTTAGCCGTGAAAAGTAAGACTTCATTGATAAATCAACCCTGGGGAACCTTAGTCATGATCTTTGATTCTCCATTGACATTTCAACCCTCTACTGGAAGCGGCTTTTGTAGTCCAGGATCAGAAAACTTATAACATAGAGATACATATACCTATACAGAGCAATACAGAGCTATAAAACCAGATAACATATTTGTTACGGTTTCCCTTAGCTGATTTCGATGTTAGCCCGTAAGTTACATAGTCTTCTCGCCGGATGGCCTGTGTTCCCAGCACTAGGCCGGCCGGGAGATGACAATACCGTCTCAGCCTACTGAATCTCGTGTATAAATCAAAGTGCAAGCCATCTCAATTTCAACATTTCCAGGCCCCCCCCTCCCCCCCCCCCCCAGAAAGGCAGTCCTTCCGCTCTTCCTACGAGTTGGTTCCTCCTTGAGTCCAATCTACTTGACACTTCTGAAGCCAATGGGCCCTTCCTCCAAAAAGCCCCATGTGATCGGCATCAGCTTCCAGTAACACCACAGAACCCATCACTTCCGCCGCCCCGGCATCATCCTCGCATTACCTCTTTGAAATCACATTCGCGCCTCGCACAGCGGAAGACGTAAGCAATGCCTTGCTCTATCTGTCCCCGGGAGATTTTCGGGGGCATGCAGGCACATTCCGGGTTCCCTGCCCGGATGCCCTCCCAATCATCAAACACAAATTTTTTGCAATCGCGGCACTTGTAGTAGGGCCGGTGCAGGTTGCCATTGTTAATTTTTTGGGTCTGGTGGCGGAGCATGGGGGATCCGCAGCAGTGCGGTTCGTTCGCGAAGAGACGAGGAGGGGATTCGCGCTGCATCTTCTCCCAGAGATAAAAGGGGAATTCGACCTCGTGGGGGGTGGATGTTCGGGTCTGGTCTGGTCAGACTTGGTTTCGGTGAGGTGTGGCTCGGCATATGACGAGAACTTACTGTTAAGAGGAATAAAAGTATTATGGTTCGAGATCCTTGTCTGATGATGATGATGACGATGATGATGATGATGATGGGCAAAAATCAAAATAAGACACAGAAGGAGTCCGTGGGCGATTGGCTGGCGGGCTGGAGTAGGCTCAATGCTTTTACCGGATCGACAACTGCGTTTATGAGGCAGATCTCTCAGGCTGGGGGGATTTTCTGTCTTACTTATAAGCATCTGGGACTTGATTTTGTGGAATAGGGGAAAGGTATTGCAGCAGCTGGGATGGGCTTCCAAGTCTTGAAAGGCACATTCTCTTCTATGCGGCATTTTTCGTCCTGTGCAAAAGTGTCTCTTGAGGCGGACGCGCACCCTGTTTCTCAGCCCCCTCAGACGTCATGGGGATTTCTCGAAGTGATCATTTGTCAATTGAAAAGATGTTCATGCCAACAGATGCGCTGTCAAGCTGGATGAAGTGAGTCATTGGGGAAGAAGGAGGACAATGGGGGAAAAGTCGTTGATCCAGTGAGAGGGAAGAGAGAGCCAAACACCGAATGATCTGACTGGGGCGTATAGTAGTGTACAGTGCTACCCCGGAAATCTTACAGTCCTGCTGGTAGACTAATTGACATATGTTGGCAGTGCTATTGGTCATGCTCTGTGGTCCGTACCATACAGTTACAATACCTGGTAGTACCTCACCTGCCTACTAGGTATACTACTACCCTAGTACCTGGTAGGTAATTTTCTGTGCACCGCAATTCTCCTCACGAAGATTGGTCCAGGCTGTCTTTTCACCCTGCATCATCTATGCAGGAAAGCCGGAGCCGGTAATTTCTTTCCCTTTCGCACTGATTCTAGGATGAACCCCGCACAACGCGACCCGTCGCGTCTTGGAGAGTTCCACGCGTTCACGAGGTAGAAATACCGACTCTGCTATCGCTGATCTCTGCTCGCTGTCAGTCCTACTTTGCAACCTACTGCCTGACTTGACTTTTTCAACTCAACCTTGGTTTAAAAGTGATTCTCCGCCGTTAGTGAGTCACTTATCTTTTATCTTTCCCGCTGGGCGAAACATCTCTCCGTAATGGATTTTGGAAGGCCTTCGGAACATGCTCCTGTACTCAGCGATCAGGAAATGTGTAATGCACTCGAACCTGGTTGGCAACTCCAGAATAATCAGAGCCTTGGCTTCAGTACGCCGTGGATCTCACAAGATGATGGATTGGACTCGTGAGTTGGAAGCACTCCCCAGCAGCAAACCTCTCCCCCTTCCCCTTCCCCCTTCCCCCTTCCCCCCACCCCCCGAGCCCTAAATTCTTTCCGAGCATCCAGGTTTGCACAAACTTCAGCAGCAACCTGAGGTCCATTCTCGCAACCGAGAGCCAGTGGCTCGATGGTGAGGGAATGTGTCAAAAACATAGGAGCGGGAATTATGGAGAAAAGGACCCGGTCGGCTCCTCTGGTGGACTGTCTGGCCTGGAACAATCGGTCCAGATGATGAAAAGGGGCAAGAGAACTGCGGCTGCCATGGACGACGGATGAGGCGTGCACAGCAGGAAACCCAAGGAAAGATCAGTTATGAGGAAATCCAGAGGAAGGGCATACGGGCAGGCAAGCTTGGAAGACGTTTGGAAAAAGGAACAACGGCAAAATGGCATGTTCCAGGGCCCGGAGCTGAAGCTGAAGGATTGTTTTTCTATCTATGGGCTAAATGGGCCTTGTCACTTATCACAATCCATGTGAATTCATTCTTTTGGAAAGATTGGCTTGATTATCTTTGATCGCCGTTTTACCACTCGCCGCCGGATGGAAAGAGTCTGGTGATGCTCGAGCAACAATCCAAACAGTACCTTTTTAGACCGGAGATAGATATTCTCTTGATGGGCTTTCAGGGCTGGCGATCAGAGGAGGAACGAAAATTGATGGTGTACTGTAGAAGTTTGTTGACGGCTAATGATGAGTTTGGAGGCAGGGACGGTGTGCCTAGGAGACCAGAGAATTTTAACGTGGCTGCATTCAATACTTTTCCGAACGCAGAGCAGGAGACATATGGGCCTACTGTGGCTCAATATATTGATGCTTCTTGGCTGCAGTTCAATACTTTTCCGAACGCAGAGCAGGGGACATATGGGCCTACTGTGGCTCAATATAATGGTGCTCCTTGGCTGCAGTTCAATATGGCGAACGCGGACGGATCTCTGGGTATAGATGAGCATAGCGGGCCATCGACTCCAGCTGCCTCTACTCAGCAGCTCGACGATTTCAGTGCGGGCATGCAGGGCTATGATCAGCATGCGTCAGTCAACACCTACAGCGGTGTTGATCAAAATGAGTCAACCAGGAGGACCTCGACCGGGTAAGTTGGTATGAGATTCCTCTTCTGAGACCTCTATCAGGCTAACATGCCTTCTCTTCCATAGCAGGCGCGTGAATAGCGAGCAGCAAGCTATAGAAGGAGACGAGCAAGCAGAAGTAAAGCGAAATGTCTATCAGACTTCTCCAGTTTCCGCACGGTCACAGAAAAACGGTGGTCAACGAAACAATCAGAAATCTGGCTCGCGGAAATACCGTCCTCTACTCCCCAAATTCTCTTACCTTTATCGCAGTGGTAACTTTCTAAAAGAGCCTTTGTAACCACCGATTTCGTTTCGGGACCCCGTAAGCCAAAGCTTGATCGATCACGTGATCTTTCAAGGTTCTCAGAGACGGAAGGTCCTGCTATTATGCTTTGTTTTTCTACTCGCGTTGTTGAGCTCAAATATGATAATATGATTCTTGTGTTTATTCTGCTCGCAGAAGTTGTTTTTGCGGCGTAGACTAAATTCCGTAGGCCTAGGCTCGATATAGGCTAGGGCGGAGATAGGGGGGTGCACGGGACCGCCGCCAATGGGCGAGAGAAAACACCCAGGCCGGGCACGTGCGCTCTTTCTCCTCTTTGATTCTACCTCCCATCAACACACGAGACACGAGACACTGCAGCCCACTTGGTGCTTTGGTGCTGCAGGACCGTGGATGCAAGTCACAGCTCTCTCCTCGCACGTGGTGCCACGCCCGCTGCCATGCCGGGTGTCGCAGGAGCCAAGTTGGGCCAAGTTGGGCCAAGTTGGGCCAAGTCTGGCCAAGGAGGCTTGTCTGCTCCCCTTCTTCTCTTGTCTCTGCTTCTCGCTAAACCTACTGTGCTCGGTCATGAGTCAGTCCGACCCGGTCCTTCATCTTATTCTCCGATTTGAAGCGGTTAGTTGCGATGTGATAATTGTGAAGGCATTTGCAATGGAGACAACAATGTCTGCAATCTAGATGTTGCCGCACAGCTGCCGTCGAGTAGCGGCATGGGTTGTCCAGGCCCCCGAGGCCACTGTCAGCCAGCCCGCCTTTCCGACTCTCGCGCATGCATTCAGAAAACACTCGTTGGTCGTCGAGCCTCGGGAACCGAGATTACCTGACACACTGGTCCGGTCCAACTGTCACGTTGCTTCCCTCCGAGGCCGAAGGTCCACTAGTTCGTCTCGCTTGACCGGGGTGAGATGCCCCTGCCTGGCCGACTAAAGCACCGCTAGTGGACCAAACCAACTGCTTCTAGCCAACCACAATCTCCACCGCTAGAACGTGCTGAACGAGTCTGATATTGATGGTTCTCGATGCATATAGCATGATAATGCAACGCTTTCGCCGTTCATGCATATTTAAGCCCATCGGTTCTCCTCCTTCCCCCCCTTTTTTGGGTAGGATCATCTGTCTCTCTACAGCCTCGAGGACTTTTTGGTCAAGACATACTTGATATGGCAGACTTTGACGCTTCTCGCGAGCCCGACATGGCCGCCAAGCACGAGTTCCCTGAGATGAGCCACAGCGAGAAGGAGGCTTTCGACCGACTCCTTCGCCCCGATGATAGCTACACCCAAGCAGGTGTCTACTGGGCTGATCTTCCTCTCGGACAGCGGATCAAATTCGTCCGCTCCGTGGACTCCAAAGAGAGTAGCCGTCAGTGGTCGGCTCTCTGGCAGCAGTTCAAGGCTGATCCTTTGTCGCCGCTGATGAACTACTTTCGTGACACCGTCATTCCAGGTGCTGGTATTGGTCTGGAAGGGTAAGTCCATCCTGGTTGACTCTCTACAAGGTGACCGTTGTTCTGATGTGCCATAGTTATGTTTTGCTCTCCATCGGAAACATCTCCACCCTGTTTGGCAAGTCCTTCGAATCCTGTTGGGGCAAATACGAGATCTGCTCCAAGAACTGGATCTCTGCTATATCCTACCTCGAGATCGTCGGTATTATCATCGGACAGGTGTTGGTAGGTATTATTGGCGATTGGATCGGCCGTCGTTGGGGTTTGCTACAAGATGCCTGGATTATGATTCTGGGCTTGGTCATGCTGGTTTGCGCTTGGGGTACCACGCAGAACGGTTGGGTCATCTGCTATGCGTGGTCTTTGTTCATCTACGGCATCGGTGTTGGTGAGTATATGCCTGCTTGCCTTTTTTTGTCCCAGTGATACGATGACTGACTGGCTGTCTGATAGGTGGCGAGTACCCGATGACTGTCACAAGTAGTATGGAAAATGCCGTCGGCTCTGGCAAGCTCTCTACCCGGGATGATCGTCTTCACCGCGGTGCCAAAGTGATCTCATGCTTCTCGATGCAAGGTTGGGGTCAGGTTCTCAACCAGGCCTTCCTCATGATCCTGCTTTTGATCTTCAACGCCGGCAGCGGCGAGGAGCCCATTAACCAGACCGCTACCCAATGGACCTACCGCATCTCTTTCGTGATCCCGTTGATTGGCACTCTCTGGCTTCTTTACTACCGCGCCTACCACATGAAGGCCGCCAGCAAGCAGCTCGCAGCCACCAAGAAGGCGGCCAAGGTGTCCGTCACTGGCTACGACAGCGAATCCCTCCGCTTGACTTTCAAGCACTTCACTCCGCGAGTCATTGCCACGGCTGGCGGCTGGTTCGCCAATGACGTCTTCTTCTACGGCGCCAAGCTGTTCTCCAGCGACTTCATCGCCGTTATCAGCCCGAAGTCGAAGTCAATCTTCACCACGTGGCAGTGGAGTTTCATCGACGTTGTCGTCACGTTGGCTGGTTATTACTTCGCTATCGCCTTCGTCGACAACAAGCTCTACGGCCGTAAATGGATGCAGATCTGGGGCTTCTTGCTCTGTTTCATCATGTTCGTGGTGCCTGCGTTCAACTACGACTACTACACGGAGGCCGCACACATCCACTCGTTCCAGACGATGTACTTCCTGTCCAGTTTCTTCAACCAGTTCGGCCCCAACTGTGTGACCTTCCTCGTGGCTGGTGAGGTCTTCCCCACCCCGATCCGGGCCACCGCGCACGGCATTTCCGCCGCGACGGGCAAGCTCGGCGCGCTGCTGGCGGCCATCCTCTTCAACTACATCGACACCCAGACCAAGTTCTACTTCGTCCCCTGGTGGGGGCTGCTTGGTATGGCCCTGACATACCTGTTCCTGCCCGACACCACCGGCCTCGACCTCAAGGAGCAGGAGCGCCGCTGGATCTACATCCGGGAGGGCCGTGAGCACGAGTACCACGGCGTGGCCGTGCACCCGAAGCATTTGTCCGTGTGGGAGCGCTTCCGGGGCGCCAGCAAGTACTACGATCCGGAGCTGGACTACCAGCAGCGCATCCGCGAGTACCGCGCCGAGTGGGAGACCAAGATGGCGCGCCTGAGCGAGGAGACCAAGCGGGAGGATGATGCGGACGCCTTCATTGAGGACGAGTTGCTGGGCGGCTCCGTGCACGACTACTTCTACCGCACGAGCTCGTTGAGCACGGCGCACAGTGTTGAGAAGCTTGACGTGGCGGAGGCGAAGTAGACTGTGTTTGGGTTTCGATGCAGGCAGCGTGAATCGAACTCCGTTGAAACGCAGATGAGCGAGATCAAAGATTATACCCCCTCCCTCCTGGGTTGTTCGATCGAGGAGGATCTTACCTATGTTATAATAATGTCTTTTATGGTTTTTGACATCCTGCTTGGGGTAGTTGATTTTGGGACGAAAATTGGAGCTGTTTACGTATATTAGTTTAATCCAGTGGGAACATTACCGAACATTACTATCCTTTCTTCGCTTATACAGCTCGCTGAGATATGCAAACTCGAGCTAAAGTTAGTTTGTCCCCGAACGTTGACACTTCTGATTATGAGTGGAGAATCTTCTTCGTCCTGCCCATCCTCCCGCCGCTCGCATTGAAAGTACTTAGTAGCATCCGATCAATTCCTTACCAAACGTTCAAGATGCATCCGCAACCTCCGAAGCAGGATCAATCAATCCACCTGATATATTGTCAGCGTTGCTAAGTAATTTGGTCACGTAGCTCCAACGGCCTTTTCATCTTGTTTACATACGGGAACGAAGCTAGTTCCAACCACCAAGGAAATCAAGAGACATGTTCCAGCAGCCTACCTCTGAGACTTTGCCAATGCTTAAACTTAGGTCTAGCAGTGATCCGTTGTCACAGAAGAGGGGAACAATTAAAGATACGATCTGTATATATGGATGGTGCTACAAAGCTGCCGAAGAGATACAGAGTGGGAGTCCGCTCGGATCGACTGCCGCGGATGTCGATGCTGCGTGTGACAGCTCACAGGCCGAATCCCGGACAACCAACTAATTAACTCATCATGACATGATATCTATACGCTAGCAATCTTATCAGGTGGCACGAGAAAGATGAACTCGAAAGAAGGAAGCTACAGCAAAAAAAAAACACAAAAAGATGAGCTCCGATAGGGGGAATCGAACCCCCGGCTGCCGTGTGAGAGACGGCGATGTTAGCCACTACACCATATCGGATGTTGGGTGAAAGATCGTTTCGCAAGTGGTTACATAAACCAAAAACAAAAGACTCCATTAATGTAGGATAACTAGTTTTTGTCATAATTTTTTTTTTTCACACTGGGCGCTCAGAGAACCTGCTGCACGTGCCCTAGCTCCTTTCCTGGACAGGGAGCTCTATTCAATTTCAGGTTTTTGACCCGATCTGTTCAGCCAAAGTGTTTTATCTGCGGACGATCCATATTTTTTACTGATTTTCATGGGGCGGAGGGGTTCAATCTTTTCCTTTTTTCTTTTTGCAGGTTGCACTCGTAGAACATGGCTATAACCACCTATGATCCTGCCGAGTCCCTTTCTTCCTGACTATGATTAAATGACCGTATATCATGGTCCCCTCTTTGGAAAAAGATCACTGTAAAGCTCTTTTCAGGTCCAGGCATAATGCGATTATGTGTGATCTAGTTTCATATATACGTATATGCCTGTGTGTGGTATATATATGTAAATGCGTATTCTATGCATCATCAAACACCACTAAACACCTTTTATGCAAAACCTTCGTCAATCCCTTTAACAATACCACCAATCCACCGACTCACCCCTTGAACGGCGCAAACCTCGACATAGCCCGCAACCGCTTCCCGTACACCATGAACAGGAACGGCACCGGGATCGCCGCCGCCGCCACACCCCCTAGGATCGACATGGCCGGGCCCACGCCCAGATTGTGGAACATGGGCTGCGAGAAGAGCGGGAACGCCGCCGCGAGCACACTCCGCAGGAACGTGTTGGACGCCGTGGCGGACGCGGCATAGGGCCCGTACGTGTCGACCAGAAAGTTGATGCACTGGCCGAAGATGATGCAGAACCCGCAGCCGAACATGCCCGCCGCCACGCAGGGCAGGGCCCAGTGGTACTTGGGCGCGGCGGTCCAGCCAAACCAGAACAGGCCCGCCGCGAACAAGAACCCGCCGACGGCCATGGGCATGAGGCGAGCCTCGGGCACGGGCTTGCCGCCGCCTTCGTCGAATTTGCGGATGTAGTACGGTTGGCCGACGAGGATGATGAAGGAGGACGACAGGAGGACGCCGACGAAGAGGGCGATGAACGGGAGGGTGGCGACGACGGGTTTCCACTGGCGGAGTTCGTCGAAGACGATGGGGAAAACTTCGAGGGTGAGGTAGAGGAGGGCGTAGGTGAAGGAGGCATACAGGGCAATCACGGTGACCATGGGCTCGGTGACAAGCATGACCAAGGGCCGGGAGAAGTGCTTCGTCACGATGCTGTGGGCGTCAATTTTCATATGCTCGTGGGGGTGGTAGAGGTCCGCATTGCCGGTCTCTTTGCGTAGGCGCACGGCCTTCTTGTGCAGGAGCACGGGGCCGTACATCTCGGGCAAACAGAGGAAGGTGACGGCGAATACGAAGAACACAAAGATCGCTTCGATGTATTCGGTCCAGCGCCAGCCGAGAGAAGGGTTCGACACCAATGCTGCCCCGATGATGGGTCCCATCGTGGGTCCGCCAACGACGCAGATGGCATACGAGGTCGAGGCGATCCCCCGCGCTTTCATGTGAAAAATATCCCCGAGGGCGGCGGAGACGTTGCTGACGGGGGCAGACCCAAACAGCCCGGCGAAGTACCGCGTGATGAGCACGGAAGCAGTGGTCTTGCTGGTCGCGGTGCCGATGCTAAATAGACCCATGCAGAATACCGCGGGGAGCATCGACCAGCGACGACCCCAGATCTCTGAAATCGGCGCCCAGCAAAGCGGACCGAAGGCGAACCCGAGACTATCCTCCGTCAATTGGACTGTTTTCAAATGCTAGCGAGTGAATCTTACATGTACAGAGACGTGGCCAGGATGCTGACCTCTTTACTGATCCCAAGATATTCAATTAGGTCCGTTTGCGCAGGGGAGATGATACTCGATCCCAAACTGGCACTTAGGGCCAGCACCCCTAATTGGAAGGTGATCCAGCATTTATACGCCGTCGAGAAGTTTTGTGGATTTTCAGGGTCATTTTCCTCCCATCGCACCAGATTAGGATCGGGCGAGGATACGGGCTTAGCAACCTTCTCAACATCATTAGATGGAGGTGTCGACGAAACCGTCGTTCCAGGCACTACCGTCATGCTGCCTGAAGAATTTGTGTATGCAGCAAATTCACGACTTCCCCTCGCATTCTAGAAGACGCAAGCCTTCAATCTTTATTGGGATTGCCACCGGGTCTCGGCACGGCGAGTGACCGAGGCGACCCTCTTAGTGTCGGAGGTCCGACTCGGATAGTCCGATGAGCCAATCATAACGTCATTACAGGGGTAGACTTAGTCAACTCGAGTCAGAAAGAGCGCTGCTGACGACTAGAGAAGGTCTGTGCTGAATTCTCCAATTCCCCTGGTGTACGGAGTATTGCGTCGGCGGTTGCCGATATCACTAACTCATGGGCGGAAAAATTCCTTTCGCTGGTGATAGCCTCGATCCCTTTGGTCCAGCTTGTCCAGTTATCCAGGAACAGGTACGCGCTCCAACCAAAGGCGATAAGACCATATCTCTGGCTACACAGCTTCCACATACCTGATTAGTCTATCGATTGATGTGTTGCTCCTCTTTTCCTCGGCATCAACCCGGCTCGACCCGCCCAACTGCCAATCACACCCGGTTTCAGTGTCAGAGATTGCGGAGCGGGAGCTTGGCAGATACTGCTTATCCCAACGCGCATAGAAAGAGCTATTGCATGTTAGATCTTTGAGAAGTAGCGCTTGATGTGGGAAATGTCCATAGAAAGATAGCCCCTCGAAGCGCGAAAGAGGTTGCAAGGCAGTATTGCGGGGAACTGTAGTCTTGAACCTCAAATTCTAGACTTCCTGCTTGGCGATACCATCACCCCGGGACGGATAATTTCGCTCGCACCGCATACCGCTGTCTGCACTTCAGTTCACTCTGCATCCCGTTTACGGTTGCCATCATGTCATGTGTACGTATCGGGCAAGTGTGCCGTTCGCGGTAGCCCGTCGCGAGCACTACTCGACGAAACACAGACTGCAAGATCGAGTCGGTGCACTGAGATATCTGTTGCATCGCTAAAAATCGCATCCAAGTGCGGGCGAAAGATCGCATCTCCCTGGGGGGTCTCAAACCACAGGATATTTTTGACTCTGTCGATTGCGTCGCTCCAGCTCCTTAGGTTCAAGGCGCCTGCTACCATCCGGGCTCTCTCCAAGAACCATTGGTAGTGAGCGGGGTCAGTTCCGGTGGAAGCAACCATCCCAATTGCTACGAACCAAACATCAAGGGAGGAATGGATGTGGGGCATCAGATCGAGGAGCTTGAGATGCTGCACAAATCGCATGACCATCGTGTTCAAGATGACTGCGTGTGAGTAGTATGTGGGTCCATGGATGATGAACATGTAGATGATGGTGGCGTAGCGGATGCATTCGGCTATAGAGGATGGTATTGATGACGGAGTTGGAGAACTTGGTCCCGCAGAGTCTGAAGGGGCCGATAGAAGTAGTCGGTGGATGACAAAACATGTCAGGTCGTGGAGATGGGTCGGTGGGAAGGGTATACGGCGCGCACGCTGAAAGACATTGCGGAGACGGATGAAGACGTTCCGAATTGAGTACTCAAGATTGTCATCAAAAATGTGGACAAAATCGACTACTACGTCCTCAGTGAGGTCCGTCGAGGAAGCGTATTGGTATTCAGGAGTTGAGGGAATGCCATCTCCGATGCCGACATCGTCCTGCGTTTCGAACTGGGGGTGGCCCATGACAAGCATCGATACCCTGGCGGCATACGTCAGAAAGCTTTTGTTGGGGGACAAGTCGACTTACCAACTGATCATCCGAGCAGTCAAAGGGCTGGTCTGTCTTACTGAATTGATGCCGCCTCTCAGCGTGACCAACCTCTTAACCCCGCGGACATGCATCCCGGCAATGTCGACATTCCCCTTGCCAAACTGATGCCGCGGTGATCAGCACTGCGTCAAAGTGTACAATCTCGGAACTTACTTCAATAGCCGCCAAGGTGATAACGGAGTTCATCGTCCCATCCTGAACAGCTAGGGACTGGTCTTCAATCTTGCGGCGTAGTAGCGACACCGAGTCAGTCATGAGAATTTCCGAGCCCTGGAAGCCCTTCTGAGCGAGCAGCTCTTCGTCCAGACACGCTGTCTGCAGGGAGACATGAAACAAAGCCGGATCGCCCAGAGCCAGCGGCCACCATGAAATAAGAAACGGATTGGTCGTTGCATTCAAGTCCAGCGGATAGTACTGAAACGCAATTTTGTGCAGGACTAGCAGGTAAGTCGAATTGTCTGGTACAAGCTAGGTGAAAGCAATACGTACAACTATGGATCAGACGTTGAACGCGTTCCCGGGGCAATCGCGTTTGGGGATAGGAGTCGAAAGGGTCGAGACCGGGGAACCTGTAGCTGGTCAAAGCAGTCGAGTGATTGGGCGCTATCGTCAATCCGCTATCCTCCGGTACTGTCAAAGGTTGATTGGCGTAGACGCACGGAACGTTGCGCTTGATACAGCGCGAGCAGCGCGGAGTGCGGAGATCACAGCTATGTTTGTACTTGTAACAGGCGGTACAGGAGCGACGAAGTGTTCGCGACATTGTGGTGTCATGCAGTGTGGACTAGATGTGTTTCTCTCGAGATTGTGCCACCGGAGAGAAGAGTGTTGGTGGAGATGAAGAACCGATCTAGACTGTGTAAGGGAAAGGGTCGCCAAGCGGATGCCGAGGCCTCTGCTCTGCTTACTTAGGATGCTGCCTGCGCCTCAGGAAGATCTGGAGGGAAAGAACACCCGACTTCGTCAACTGAGAATCTCTTCCTCAGGGGCCATGAAATATCCAAGTAGTAGCGCCAATGTCATTCAAGTGCTTTGTAAGGATTGGAAATGATAAACAGCAGCCAGAGATGAAACTGTGGAGTGTGAAGTGATTGAAGAGTGAATCAATGGCCATTGAGGCTATTCGAGTCTAACCCGGAAGAGACTAGAGCCCGAATGTGTTTTCGGGGTCTAGTCCCAATCGGGTCATGTATACAAAATGAGCATTTCATCGCATGATGAATTAATGCAGCCACTCTCCTTTTCTCATGTTTCAGTCCAGTGGTATAAAGCAGTACAATGACCACTGGTCTCTATGATTCCGTCAGTTACCTCTCTTATAATATCAGTATGGCGGAGATCGTCAACATCACCACAGCGCACCTCGCGCAGCCGCCAACATGGCCCAACCCAGCATACTCCTTCCTATCGGGCTGGTCCACCTGGCAGTATATCGTGACGTTTCTACTGGGAGTAGTAGTTTACGACCAAGGTTGCAACACCCCCTTCAATAACCAGCCAGTCACTGACTCCGGACGAATAGTCATGTACATCAAGCGAAAGGGCTCTATCGCCGGTCCGACATTCAAGATCCCCCTCATGGGCCCGTTCCTCCAAGCCATCCATCCCAAGTTCGATGAATACCTCGCTCAATGGGCGAGTGGGCCTTTAAGCTGCGTCTCCGTCTTCCACAAGTACGTTCCACCACATCAATACCTTACCACCCCCTCCTGATCCCCCTACAGATTCGTCGTCCTCGCCTCCGACCGCGACCTCGCGCACAAAGTCTTCAAATCCCCCACCTACGCAGAACCGTGCCTCGTCCCCATCGCCAAAGACATCCTCGGCCACAAAGCCTGGGTCTTCCTGCAAGGCAAAGCGCACGCCGAGTACCGCCGGGGCCTGGCGCCACTGTTCACCAACAAAGCCATGGAGACCTACCTCCCAGCCCAGGAAAAGGTACTAGCGGACTACTTCGACCGATTCGTGGCGGCCAGCGCGACCAACGACCACCGGCCGATGCCCTTCATGACCTTCTTCCGCGAGATCAACTGCGCGCTGTCGTGCCGCACCTTCTTCGGGGACTACATCTCGCCGGACGCCATCCAAAAGATCGCGGATGACTTCTACCTGGCGACGGCGGCGCTGGAGCTGGTCAACATCCCGCTGTCGATGTACGTGCCCTTCACGAAGCCGTGGTGGGGCAAGCGGACGGCGGACGCGGTGCACGCCGAGTTCGCACGGTGCGCGGCGGCCTGCAAAGCGAACATGGCGCGGGGCGCGGCGCCGACCTGCATCGTGGACCACTGGGTGCGGCACATGATGGAGTCGAGCCGGTACCGCGCACGGCTGGCCACAGGCGAGGCCGTGCCGGACGAGGAGAAGCCCAAGAACCTGATCCGCGAGTTCACGAACCAAGAGATCAGCGAGACGCTGTTCACCTTCCTGTTCGCGTCGCAGGACGCCTCCAGCAGCGCGACGACCTGGATCTTCCAGATCCTGGCCCAGCGGCCGGACGTGCTGGCGCGCGTGCGCGCGGAGAACCTGGCCGCCCGCGGCGGCGACCGCTCCCGCGCCTTCGACCTGCCCATGCTGGAGTCGCTAACCTACACCAACGCGGTCATCAAGGAGCTGCTGCGCCACCGCCCGCCGGTCATCTTCGTGCCCTACCTCGCGACCCGCGACTTCCCCATCACGCCGGAGTACACCGCGCCCAAGGGGGCGATGGTGATCCCCTCGTGCTGGCCGGCACTGCATGACCCCGAGGCTTACCCGAACCCCGAGGTGTTCGACCCAGACCGCTGGATCACGGGGGATGCCGAGTCGAAGACGAAGAACTGGCTGGTGTTCGGGGCGGGTGCGCACGATTGTCTGGCCAGGAAGTACGTGCCGCTGTCGATGGCGGGGATGATCGGGAAGGCGGCGCTGGAGCTGGACTGGACGCATCATGCGACGGCCCGGTCGGAGGAGATCCGGGTGTTTGCCACGTTGTTTCCGATGGTGAGTTTCCTTGACGTCGTGTTGACTTGTAGGGGTGAGCTGACGTGAAACAGGATGAGTGTCCGCTGGTATTCAGGAAGCGTCCGTAGATCGACTCGATGCAGGCCATCGAGCTAACCACGCATGTACAGTACATATAATATTGACCAACACGGAACACCGCGAATCTACCCAACGTGGGCAACCACCAGCTGAATTAACCAGTAACGATACCATCATCCATTGCTCTACCCCGTCTTATCGTGTTTGACCAAGAATCAAGCCAACCCCACAATCATCCCAATCACACACAGTAACTCAAGAATGCTATCCCCTCTCCAATAGACCACCAGACAGCTAAACAGGAACCCAATACCGCCACCTCCCCGCATCCCCATCCCCATTAGCCTCCCCAAGCCCATCCCCCTCCCAATCCCCCTCACCCTCCCCCATCCCACCGCCAGAACCACAAGCCCCCATCTCCCAAACCATCCCCCTCTCTAACACCACGGCCCCTCCACCACGCACTCTCCTCCCATTCCCCCCAAACCCAATACCTAAACTCCCAGAACCACCCCCACCCCCACCCCCACCCCGCCGCCGCTTATAAGCCCGACACAAAAAGCTCCGATCCCAGCTCCGGTCCCCCTCCCACGGCCGCTTCCGGCTGCGCACCCGGTAGTCCGAGACGCGGGCGAAGTAGGAGCTATCCGGGGTGATGAGGGGGGGATTGATGGTGAGGGTGAGGAGGGGGTTGATTTTGTTTCTGGGAGGATGGTCGTGTGTCTGAGTTGGGGTTGGGGTTGGGGTTGGGAAGTGTTGGTTTCGGTGGTTGGGTATCTGGATGTGGTGGTTGTGGTGGTGGTGATGGGGTAGGCGGGGTGGTGCGGGGGTTGTATTGTGGCTGCTGCTGCTGCTGGTGGAATATCCAATTGTGCTGCGATGGTGAATCGGAAGTTGGCTCTGTGGATGTGAGGACGAAGATGAAAACATCGTCAAGCTGGGATGATGCGCGTGTCTTTCGAGCGGAGGGTCGTTGTGGGTGTGGGTGTGGGTGTGGGCGTAGTGCATGGCTGTGGACTCGCACCCAATGCTGCGGTCCTCAAGTCGATGCCCGTGGCTATGGCTCGTCACCCTGGAAGGATGCAATCTCCTTCCGCGGTAGGGGGCGTGGGCATCCTCACGCCCACCGCCCGATAATATGGCCAGAATGCTCCAGAGCGATAAACCCCGCTGCAGACCCTCGCGGAGGGTGGCGTGCTCGTAGCGGCGCCGCGCGAGTCGGGTGCTTTCATAGTAGGTCTTGTGGCGCTCGGATTGGAGGAGGATTGGGGGTTCGATGGGTTGCGGAGGAGGAGAAGGAGGGCTGCATGTTTGACTGGCAGTTGGGAAAGACATTTTGAAGAATACACAAGAAGTTTTAAGATGGGAGCGTTGCATGGTGATTGCACCTAATATACGCACGCGCTGATAAGCATATTAGCCGATCACCCCCACACGACACACGGGATGTCATGTTTCACCGACGCGGCAGAAGGTCTCCACGGGATCATCGTCCACGTACTGCCTTGCGTGTACAGCTCAATTTCGGCTTCCCTACTCCTACACATACCAATTAATCAGATAAGATTGGCCATCCATGTAGTCATCTACTATACATTCAGTCGTCATCCGACAAAAGAGATATAACTCAGACAGGCGAGAAATCTTTAAGATGATACAAGCAAAACATCCCCACCCTCAACACCCCACTGCCCCGCCGAACAAATACTACCTAGGTGTAAATGTGAAGTCTCGCCTCTATCGAGGGGCATGCTGTGGTGTCATCTGTCCAGGAAGTGGTCCCGGGTTCGACCCCTGGCTGTACACGCGATGGTGCCCGGGAGCCCCATGCGGACCTGGTTCTAGACCTCCAGGCCCTGGAGGCCGTGCTTGCATCGCGTGCACAGCCCCACTAGGAGCATAGCTCAGCCCTCCCGTGGGGTTTGGCTGCAGGATCGCCGGGGGTGTGTATGACCGACCCATCGCCATCCCCTGCGGCCCTGGCCCAGGCAGGCCTGCTGCCCGAGACATTTGAGCCTGCGGGGGCGGGGTGCTGTGACCGTACGCTACGGCACCAGCCAGTCCCAGCGCTGATCGATGAGCCGCCTGTTGATGGGCTCCATTCACCATGGTTTGGACGTGCTGCTGATAAGTCTGATGGTTCGCATGTTGTTGCGCAGACATGCCTCCACCGGGTGTGGCTGGTGCCGACACATATGCCGGCTGTGCCACAGTTGGCTGTCTGGAGGGCATCCCCAGTAAATTAGCAGGCGACTGAATTGGTGTAGGCGGCCCTTGTCTGGAGCCATACGACGCGAGACTGCCGTTCCGGGGGGTCGGAGAGCCAACTGCCGGTCGATACATCGCATTCTGCGCAGCAATTTCGCGCGATGCAGCCGCACTTGCCTGGGCATGTGACGCAGGGGAAGGGACGTACACTGAGCCATGATAAGCAGGTCGCTGAGCCGTAGCCGGCGAGGGTGTAGGCGCAGGCGACGGTGCTGTGAGGTTCTGTAACGAGGGACCAGGCAAAGACTGGTGGGACGTGTAGGGGGAATAGGCGGGTTGGGAAGCGAGAGATGCAGACGTGCGGCTGCTGGGCTGCGGCTGCGGTTGCTGCTGCTGCTGCGGGGGTGGTGGCGGCTGTTGCCCACGCGGATCGAACCGTGCCATCCAATCGTTAGTGGCTGGTGCGGCACCTCCAGACACCGAGCCGTAAGGCTGGTACTCAGCGTACCCGCGATCAACGTACCCGCGCGATGGCGGAAGATATGGGCTAGGCGCGCCATAAACCGGACCCTTCGGTTGAGCTGACAAGGAAGGGTCCTCAGGCCTCGAAGGTGGCTGGGAAAGCGACTGCATAGCAGCATACCCAGCACGGGACGGAGATCCCGTGTTGCTTGTTGGTGTAGATACCTGGTCACTGGCGAACCGTTTCCGTGGCTGTGGCTCTTCTGGCTCGTCGTTGAGAATACTCATGATATTCGATCGTTTGGCAGGCACACGGGGCGGCTCGGGGGGGTTCAAGAGGAGTTGACCCCGGTCGGAGAAGCTCCTTAGGTGGCGACAGCATGGGCGGCTGGGCGATACTTGCTGGTTGGCCTGGCAGAGTGAAGAAAGGCCTCTGCGAAATCGAGTCACGACGGATGGGGGAGTGTTCAGACTCGTGTACCAAAAGTGGCTGAGCGGGTGAGCTAGGGGTCTTTGTAAGGCTCGGCTGTCGAGAGTGAGACCCGGTGGGCATCAAAGACGATGGATGCTGGGGCGGCATATAAGCAGGCTGCGAGGCAGGAATCGCAGCCTGTACTGGTAGCAATGGCGATCCATGAATGTCGACGTTGGAACTCCGATAACCCTGAGCATGGAGCGCGTCGAGACGTGCCATTTCTGCAGCTGATACTGGCGTTTGCCGGGACGAGACGGTTATTTCCTGAGCATGAGAGGCGGGAGGGTGTGAAAGCACTGTGCCTGGGATCTCACGCCGGTCGTCAGCGAAATATCCCAGACGAGGTCCCTGGAGTCGTGGTGGCAATGTAGCCTGAGGACGCATGGCTCTGGCAGCGTCATCGCCGCCAAGGATAGGCACCGGTACGGCACTAGCCTGTGCAAGAGGAGGGTAACGCGAGATATTTCGCTCCTTATCTTGCGTAGGTCGAGTATGAAGAGGAACCTGCTGAGATGACCCGATTGGCTTGGTTTTGGGCCCAAGTCGGCCTTCGTCCGCTTCAGGCACTGCTGCATCTGTATGGGGTGCAAGAGGCCGGGGCATAATTATGGCAGACGGCGTAGCCTCGTAGCGTCGCTTCGAGGCGAAATTCGGTACAGGCAAGGGGCCAGTGGGTTCACCGCGGGCCTTCTTCGCCTCAGCATCGGCAACAATCTCTTCGAAATCCTTGTTACCGGAATCGATGCGGCGCTGAAAGTAATTCTTGACCTATACCACACCTTTAGCCGATGGTGCAACAAAAAACAAAACAGAAAATATCGAACGTGAAAACCTACCATGACTGTTGTTTTGGTCTTCATGAAATTGGAAATACCCTCAAAATCGCGGCCGAAATGTGCCAGCAGCAAGGGAAAGTCGCGTTGCTCGGGCACCGACCAGTAACTGGTGGGCTGCAAGGATCCGTATCCGCTGGCTTCGGGCTGCCTGGCGGGGGCGGGGACCTCCTGATCGGTCGATTCGAAAACATAGACCCCCTCTTTCTGACGTCCTCGTCCTGATCGCGCCCGCGGTGGTGCCTCGATCGGCTCTTTTTCTTGCGGCGTCTCCTTGCGAACAATCGGAACTTCAGCAGCAGCCCCATCAAGCGACGGCTCAAATACCTCTGTCTTTGGTACGGGAGTAACGGCGATTGCAACAGGGGGAACCGGCGTTGTTCGAGCCGATTGCTCTGATGGCGTCGGCTGCGGTGTTTGCTGTTGTTGTTGTTGCAGCTGTTGCAACTGTTGCAATTGCAATTGTTGTTGCTGTTGTTGCTGTTGTTGCAGCTGTTGTTGTTGTTGTTGCTGCTGTTGCTGTTGCAATTGCTGTTGCTGCTGCTGCTGTTGCTGTTGCTGTTGCTGCTGCTGCTGCTGTTGTTGTTGCTGCGCAGCTTTGCCTCGCCGACCACCACGAGTGCCGCCGCCGCTGCGAGGTCCTCGCCGGCTAGGTTTCTCTGCCTGTTCGCCGTCCTTGGACGCATTTCCGCGACGACCGTTTGCATCTGTGTCCGCAGACGAGTCCCCAAACGTGGGAGCAGCTGCACGTCGGGGACGACCGGTATCCGTGACAGGCGCGGGCTCTTCTTCCCCTTCGTAGTCTGGCTTGACCACACCCAGATCGGCCATGAGCGCGTTCGACTTAGGACGGGCAGATCTTCTAGCTCGTCCCCGACGGCTCCATCGCTTGTTAAGCTTGGCTTTGTACTTGATCTCTTCCTTGGTGAGATAGTAATGTATGATGCATTGTTGAAAGTCGCGTCCAGGCAATGATTCCGCGATCTTGCCCCATTTCTTGGGATGTGCCATGAATGCATCTGTGAAGATAACATGTTCCTCTTTAGTGAAGTCATTGGGCGGCGGCAGGAATCCGAATACGTCCATGGCGTTTGCAGGATCAATAATGTTATTGGTGTCTTTATAGATTCGTGCCTTCACCTCGCGTGGTTCTAGCATGTCTGGGATGACGGCTTCGCGGGATAGATCTGGCTGAGCTGTAGCTTTGTTGCCACGGCGCTTCTCGAGTTCCTCTTGTGCCGAAATCTCAGAAGCGCGAAGAGCATTCTGGAAATCCAACTCACTGTTGCCTTTATATCTTCGTCCGCTTTCCACCGTAGGTGTAGCCGTCACAGGAATGGGGGCAGCAGGAGGAGTGGTTGGTCCGGGCGTGACCGACGTCTTCTCCTTTGCATTGTCCAATTCCCAAACATTCAGCCTCCAGGGCTTATAGTGAGCAAGATAATCAAGCCGTAGGCCAGCATTCTTTTGAGCAATCTCTTTACGTTGTTTCATGAGTTCTCCGCGGAAAATATCCCTGAGCTGCTCATGGGCTGCTGCATTCTCCTGATAGATGTCCAGATCTGACAATGGAGTCGGGGGGCCAGTGTTGAGAAACGGCAAAGTCTCCACGGAGAGTATTTCAGCAGCAGGCACCGATTCCATAACTTCCTTGGTCGGTGGCTCGTGATCTTCGGCCTTTCCATTTGGCTCGGTGTCGACATCCATTGCATCCGGCTTCTCATCGCTGATTATTTTCTCCTCCTCCAGGATAGGCGGAGGGATTGGTGCTGTGTCTTCAACGGTGGCATGAGCTAAGGCACCAAGCAGCTGGATACGCATCAGTAGCGTCATGATAGTCGGATCTTCTAACGGAGACGGAGGAAGCTCCGCTCGAAGAGCTTGCATGTCCTTCTCGAACACCCTTTTCCTCTCTTCGAGATAGTCTTGTGTGAACACGATATTTTCGTCTTCCTCTTCGTCGCTAGTCCGTGTGAAATCGGGAATAACCACGTTCTTCGGTACGTCTGCTGGCTTTTCCACTGGCGTTCCCGGTGTTTTTTGCTTCTCTACAGGAGGAGCAGATCTCTCCTTGGGTCTCTCCGGTTGCGCCGCTAGTGGAGGTGAAGGTGGGAGCTCAAGCTTTGGCTCAGTCGGATCCTTTTCACTGACTATTTCTCCTGCCTCTGGCCCTGAGCCTGAATCATCGATATCAGTACGTGAATCCCGCCGGTGCTCTTCGCTGACCGAAAGACTGCGCTCTTTTTCATCAATAGAGTCCCGTTTTGCAGGAAGTGTTGAGCTTGGCCCGGCTGGTGGACGACTGTATCCAGGACGAACCCATTGCTTGTTAGGCTTGGGCGGTCCGCGGGAACCAGACGGTCGCTGCTGAAGTGCACGTGGACCAGTTGGGATCGTTGAATTCGGCATTCTAGGGGAGGTGTGGGTGCCCGGAGATACCGCACGCCCTGCCGCAGACGGCCTCCGGCCAAAATCTACCGTCATCGGGGCAGGCCCTGGCTTGCTTGGCGACGTTGCCTCATGGGAGGCCGATGTCTCCTTGGCCACCATGGCAGCGGGCGCAGTAGGCGGAGAAAGCTCGGCTACCTTAGGTCCACTGGGTGGGGGTGCGGCGTGCGGTTTGGGCACACGTGCGATGGGTTCGGGCTTCGCCGATGTGTCGGTTACGTCGTCACGTCTGGTCTCATCCCGTCGGATTCGCTGTTCGAGAGGCAGCTGAGGAGGTGCCCGATCAGCTTTGGGGGCAGTGGGTGGAAGTCCTGGGGCCCGTGGCGGCGCCTCGGGGCGTTCCTTTTCGGCTTTGGCAACAGTGGATGCAGCAGGCGCTGACTCTGCCGTTGTTTTGTCTGCCGTGATTTCGGGAATTGGTGCCGAAACCGAACCAAATGCGGGAACCTGGGGCGCAGCCGGGGGAGGGGACCGTTTTACGGGCGGCGCAACAACCGCTTCTTTCGGTGGCTCCGCACGAGGTGGTGCAGGTGGCTCGGTTCGTTCTGGCTCGCGGCGGACATCTCCTCCAGACGGTTTGCGTGGCGGCTCGACGACGGGGGGCTCAGGTACCCGCTCGGGAACTGCAGGGATTGTTGGTTGGGGTGCAGTAGCGACAGGTGAGGCGGCAGATATGCTCGGTATCCGGTTTGGATTCTCCAATCGATTGGCAGGCGGCTCACGCTTCCAGTGATCCCCCGGTCGCTCCCGGTCATCGCGCTCGACGCGGCGTTCCAAGTCGTCTCGTCGCTCAAATCTTTCTCGTCTCTCCTGCAGTATGTCACGATCTCTTTCTCGATCTCGTCGGTCAATCTCACGGTCGCGGTCTAATGGTACTCGTTCACGTTCTCTTTCACGGTCGCGGTCGAGTATGCGATCTCTATCTCGCTCTCTTTCACGCTCACGTTCCCGATCCCGATCCCGTTCCCGGTCTCGGTCGCGTTCCCGATCCCAGCGTCCGTCGCGAGATCGACTTCTGCGCCTGAAGGTGTCACGATCATCTAGATAGGGCATCCGGCCTCTGCCGCGTCCTGCTTCCCACTCACCCCGACCACGCCCACGGATGGGGGGACCGGTCCGAACATGGTGACTGTTTCCTGCCGGGAGGACGTCAGGCACTGCCGAGGAAACCGATATCAAACTATCTCGGGAGCCGCGCCGCATGCGGACAAGATCAGGATCTCGGCCCAGAGGCTCTCTTATATCTCGAAAATCGCGAGGCGGTGGGGGAGAGCGCGAGCGACCGCGTCCGAAGCCGATGCGGGGTTCTCGAGGGTCGAACTCGCGTTCGCGCCGGTTCCAGTCCCTATCTCGATCCAGGTCGCGGCGGAAAGGTGGCGGGCCATCACGGACATCGCGAAAATCTCGGTCTCGGTCTCGTTCGCGATCTCGAATGTCTCGATCTCGTTCTCGGAAATCTCCTCCTCGGGCGGTGTATCCTCGGCCACGACCAGCAAATGTAGCACCTCGCGGCGGATCAATCAAAGCTTTAGGGCCTCGAGGTGGCTCTCGGCCCAAGGGAGGAATGTTGGCATCGTCGGATCCTCGGGGTCCTGCCGGGGGTCGACGGTCCCCAAAACGCTGCGGAGAACGGTCACGGGAGTTGAACCCAGACAGCGGAGGGTATCTTTGAGACATCACCAGGTCATGCTAGTGCACATGAGACAAAGCAACCCGGCAGGATGCCTGCGACAGATTAGTAAAGTGGGACTTCACACGTCAACCAAGGCAAGGTACTGGGTGGGAAGGAATAAGACTTTGAGGAACGAAAGTATGTCCAAAGGGAAATAAAGGGAGAAATTGAAGTCAACAAGTCAGCATTCAAGTAAAGTAAAGAAAAAGAAAGGAGAATGAGGAAATGGATAGATATGAGACAAATGGAGACAGAAGAAGAAGCAGGAGTCTCGAAAAGAGCGGGCTGGAAAGACCAATTGACGCAAAGGCGGCGGAAGCGGCAGCAGCAGCAGCAGCAGTAGTAGTAGCAGTCGCAGCAAAAACGCGGGCGAGTAACGATCGAACGACCGAACGACCGACGAACGAACGGGCAGTGGAGAACACGTGATGGTAGAATGAAGCGTGCCAGCCCCGAGCCAGCCCAGCATGGGCGCAGTCAGTGCAGTCAGTGCAGTCAGTCCAGTGGAAACACTGGAAAAAGAGAAACGCACGGGCCAGGATTGAAAATTAGGTAATCATTTAACATGAATCCAGTTCAATCCACTTAGCGCGGATCCCAATTTGGCACCATCCCTCATGCTTAGCGGCAGCCACGGTTGGCGCCGATTGTTTCAGCCCGTGACTGGACAAGCCGGGGCAGCTTTCCTGGGTGGATCGGGGATCACGCAGGCGGCAGCAGACAGATTTTCGATTTCCAGTGCGAGGGGAGACCTTCTGGCTGGTCATGACTCAGGCAATGGAGTACAGTGTCTCACACGGCCGGAAATCTTCATCGGAGTGACCGAGAACAAAGAACGTGAGGATGATGAGGGTGATGGAGATGAGATGATGATAATGAAGAACCTCAAAACTTCGAAACTTCGGACGGAAACAATAGCAAACAGAACCATAAGACGTAAACTCAATTTACCTGATCTTTCAATGTAACTGGAACTGTCGTGCGCACTGTTTGATGGGCGACAACGTGTCAAGTAATTCACCGGGAAAGAGTGCGCTGCAAGGGAGTGGGAGTGGGAGTGGGAGCTGGGCAGCAAAATCCCCAGCGATGGGATCGCGGTCTTCGTTCTCGGTTCCGGAACGCGCCCAGAGACCCCAAGATCGGTTGCGTGTAACGGCGGTGGTTGGAAGGGAAATCCGATAATATTGGAGAGATTAGAGGTTAGAACAGAAGGTAAATGATTATTGAAGATGGAATGGAAGGACTGGAAGGACTGGAAGGATTTCGAGGTCAGAGTCTAGACAGAGTCAAGAAGAGGAGGATCATGAAAGAGGTTCGAGGATGGAGCAAGAGGGAAAAACGAGCGACTCTGACCAGACTCAGCGATGGGGCCCAGGCAATGTAGTCGGAAGCTTGTAGTTGGCCAGGGAGTCACTCGATTGCAGGGACTCGCTTTTCTAGGGGAAACTCAAAAATAACTTGAACTTGCGGAGTTGGCCTCAGGCCAGCTCAGGCCAGGGGTCCAGTTTCCACCTAATGCCCCAGGTGTCAGTCCTTATTAATGGCCTCAGGCATGAACTCAGGCATCTCTGCAGCGGCTGCCCATTCTGCCTCCGGGGCTGCCAACTGCCTGCCAACTGCCAGCCATCTGCCAATTCCCGCCGCCGGGCATTTCCTGCGAGCCCCCCGCCATCCGCTCTTAGTAGAAGAGGGGGAGAAAAGTGCCAACCAAAAAAAAGGCTAGCCTAAGGGGAAAACACAACCCGCTTTTTTTTTTCTTCTTGACGTGATCACCAACCTTCACCACTTATCTCGCATTCCTTCCGTCGAGCATTGACATCGAGGGAACAATATTGAGATTCATTCTAGTACTTTTTCTCGTTCGTTTACCTAGCATTCAATCCCAATCAACTGGTTTCTCTAAAAATGTCTGCGAACAACGTCCCGGCGGCTGAGAATGCCCCTCCCTCCTCCGTCACCGATGCTGTCTTGGTCGCGTCCGAGCCTGTTCCAGAAGGCACACACAAAGTCAGCGGAGTGGATTTTGATCTTTACAAGGACCGAGACATCACCGTTGCCGAATTGGTCGACAACATGAGATACACGGGTTTCCAAGGTAGTGCGGTCGCAGACGCTGCCCGCATTATCAACAACATGGTAAGGCCACCTCTACCACTATCTAAATCTAAAAAGGTATATTCGCTAACAGCGCTCGGTTGTAAAAGAAAGCTTACCGTCATCCCGAAACCGGTGCCAACACGACCATCTTTCTCGGGTACACTTCCAACTTGATCTCCTCCGGCCTCCGCGACACCATCCGCTACCTCGTCAAAAACAACCATGTTTCCGCCATTGTCACCACCGCTGGCGGTGTGGAAGAAGACTTGATTAAGTGCTTGGCTCCAACCTACATGGGCTCCTTCAGCACACCCGGCGCGGGATTGCGGGCGAAGGGTTTGAACCGTATCGGCAATTTGATTGTCCCCAATAGCAATTACTGTGCCTTTGAGGATTGGCTGGTCCCGATTCTGGATAAGATGCTAGAGGAGCAGGAGGCCGCGAAGAAGAAGGCGTTGGAAACGGGGGACGAGGAAGACGAACTGCATTGGACCCCGAGTCGCATCACCGAACGCCTGGGCCGTGAAATCAACAACGAGGACTCGGTGCTGTATTGGGCCGCCCGCAACAATATCCCCGTCTTCTGCCCGGCCCTGACGGACGGATCCCTTGGAGACATGCTCTACTTCCACACTTTCAAATCTTCCCCGCAACGGTTGCGCGTTGATATTGTCGACGATGTGCGCCGGATCAATACCATGGCTGTTCGTGCTGCTCGAGCGGGAATGATCATCCTCGGAGGTGGAGTCATTAAACACCATATCGCGAATGCCTGTCTGATGCGGAACGGTGCGGAGCATGCGGTCTACGTGAATACTGGTCAGGAGTTCGATGGAAGCGATGCCGGGGCGCGACCGGATGAGGCCGTCAGCTGGGGCAAGATCAAAGCTGACGGTGAGTCGGTGAAGGTGTATGCGGAAGCTACAGTGGTCTTCCCACTCATTGTGGCCGCTTCGTTCGCGAGAGCAGATGCAGGGGCACCGAATGCTTCCCAGTCCAAGAATTGATCATGGCTACTGCGTAGATATCGGCAGACATTTGGCGAGATGGCCGTTGCATGATTTGTTTCCAGTTTCTGTACTTCCAAAACTCCCAAGGCCGCGGATTTCGCTCATTCGAGGCACCCGTCACTGAGCACTTGGGCGATTTCTCGGAGAGCTCCCCTCCTATCTCGGCCCCGCGTCGATAACTCGAGGCCGATCCAGGCGTGGCGCTACGGTCACGCTAACCCCCCCACTCATTGCGCAGCGGCCAAAGAGGACATCCAGAAGAGAGGCAAATCGGACGAGCAGCTCCGAGTCCCTGGGACAGAGTCTGCACGGCAGAGGGACGGCAAACCATCGAAAACCCGGAGGTTCGGGCGAAGTTGTTAGATCGGCAGAGGGGCAAAAAGTTGGAGCGAAGAGGGGAAAATACTAATGGGTGGAACGGCGAATGGAACCGATGGAATTGCACTGGGTCGATGGAGCGTTCCACAGGTCGATCATGGCCGTGGTGGCCGTGGAAAAAGGCCCTCAATTAGTTTGCTTCTATCCGGGACTGTTGCCACCGGTTAGAGGATCGGACGGACCTGGGTGTTTGACTTGCCGTTCCGAGGGATGCATGCAAAGGAAGACCTACTGCACAAAGAACTCAACGAAAGAAAAGTTGTAATTGTGATAGTGAACAATGAAATGGAGTTTCCTTGCCTTGAGGATGTTTTCTTTGGTTGGCATTGGACGTGTTGGATTCATACCTACTTCTTTTCACGAGAGTGAAGGGGGGTGAGGGGGGGGGGTTGATGGAAAGGAGGGGAAAGGCAACCAACGCAAATTGACAGGTCAGTTCCTGGTGTGTTGTTTCCCCCCGGCTAGTTCGGTCGATCAATCGCACGACAATCGATAAGATGATACTGGCTGGACTGGACGGTTTGCTGTTAGTGTTCCATATTCTGTCTTCCTCTCTCTTTATTTTTTCGCGGGATCTTTTTTTTGGTTGGTTCTTTCCATTCAAATTGGTCGGGTGAGAACAATTGATACCAGTTTTCTCTCCCAGTTCTTTTCATCTCTAATTGCTTTACCCGAGTGCGGTGGCAATGGACGGGATGGGGACGGATGTTAATAATCCGGGGGAAAAAAAAAGAAGCAGAAGTTCAGAAGTGGCTCTGATTCCCCAATAACCAGCGGTGAGCGCCTCGTGATTTGGCCGCTGCATTGCCGCCTCATCCTCATCCTTTTGCCATTGGCTCTTCCCCCTCGATCAGTAGTCTCTGTCGCTTTTGTTGCTTCTTCTGATTTATTATTATTATTATTCTTCTTCTTTTTTCCAGTCTGTCCTTTCCCTCTTCCTCTTATTTCCCCCCTTCATCTGCTTTCCTGCGTTTTTACCATCTTTCATCCTCTTTTCGCGGGTTGGGATAGCTTCTCTCTCTACTTATCTATACTTCCCGCACCTCCTCCCCCGGATTTGATATACTATACTACGGAGTACAGCACAATCTCTCCGATTCAGTGTGATAAACTGTGATAGACTGTTGCTGAGCATCAGCCAACCTCCTCTTCCCCTCACACTATCCCTTTCTCTCATTGTTGTCTTTCTCAGCACTGGTGGTTGACACTTGTGCCCCTAATTTATTTTCTGCTGCTGCTCCAGCCTTGGGCCACTTTTCCCCCTCTCCCCCGATAAGCCTTGCTCGTTGCACCTTATCGTTGGCCTTTTCTAGACCCTCGCTCTTTTTCTGCCTGTCAGGCTCTCACGTCTCAATTGCCCCCATCATTGCCCCTCTGTCTGCAGCCTGACCACTCTTTTGGGACTCGTCAGCCTGCCATTCAAACACTCGAGCAGGCAGCATTGCAGCAGACTTTCCTGACCATTGAATGTCTGATTGTCTTCTGTTGGTTGCACACATTCTGAGGCTAAGACTCCTCGTGTTTCTCAGCTTTGACTCATCCTCCCCAGTCTAGCCCTCTTTGACTCGTGTTTTGTCTCGCCTTTGACAGTAGCCTTTAGGGACAGGCCATCTCATTGCTACTACTACTACTACTCATCGTTCTTTGATTGTTGTCACACTTGTCCATCTTCTTGAATCCCAGAAATGGATTCTCAGATCGAGACTTCTACCGCATCGGTGGACCAGGTGCCCCCTCCGATCACCCTCACCACCGACTCCATTCCGACTGAGCCAGCCACGGTAACAACGGTGGCCATTGAGACCACCACGGAGGATTCTCCTGAGCCGCCTAGCGACATGCCTTCCCAACCGTCGACAGAGCCCCGATCTGAGGAGCTCCCAGATGCCCCGCAAGGCGAAACACAGACCATCGAAGATGCCGACCCGGCATCAGCGGGTCAACCAGCTCCACCTGAATTAGAACATGCCTACTGGGCCGAGATTGAGGAGGACTCTACAGTGCCGGACGAAACAGAGATGAAGGAAATTGAATCTGCGGCAGATGGCGACTATAGCGCCTATGAGTGTAAGCTTCCAAACCATGGGACGAAGGTTTGAAACGTGGAGCGGACTGCTAACTAGCCTAGATGACTACTGGGAGAAGAATTTCCACGCCGATCTAGATGATCCAGAGTACCGTCCTATCCAGAAGGCACGTCTGACGTGGAAGATCAAAGGCGTTCGTGGCTCTCCGGACCGCCCCAACCGCGCTAAAATCATGCGCTCGCCCCCAGCTTACATGGGTGGCTATTGGTGGACCATCAAATTCTTCCCACGCGGTAACAACGTCAACTCCCTGAGCATTTACATCGAGTGCTCTCCGACCATGCCCACTCCGGAGAAGTCTTATCCGGATACGGAATTCAAGGTGCTCCAGGGCCCTGCTGAAGAGAGCTTGGACAACAATGCTCCCGAGCTTGACATGAAGTTTGCAGAGACTGAGGATACGGCTGCATGGCTTGAGCAATTCAAGGCGCAGTATCCTCATGCTCGCCAGGAGAATGCTGCCGGGGCTGGTTCCTGGCGGGTGTCCGCTCAGATTGGCGTCATACTTTACAACCCAGAGGAGCCTCGAACGGGTTGGATGCAGTCGTCATGCCACCAGTTTAACCCACATAATCTGGACTGGGGCTGGACTAATTTCCACGGCCCGTGGGATCAGATCCATCGCCGTCAGCGGGGCCAGCGCCAGGCACTGCTTCGGCACGATACGCTCGCGTTCGATGCTTACATCCGTATCGTTGACGATCCCACTCGGTCGCTTTGGTGGCATGCCAGTGACACCGAGCCTACTTGGGACAGCTTGAGCTTAACAGGCTACCGTCCCTTAGGTGACTCGGTCATCAACCACAGTGCGGAGGTAGCCGGGCTCGCCACGTGGCTGCACCTTGCTCCCTTCTGCAAGATTATTCAGAAAGCGAACGTCTTGGAACATCTCAGTGACTGTGATGTCAAACCCAAGCCGCTTTGTGACGCGTTGCAGAAGTTCCTCTGGCAGCTGCGTTCGCGAGGCCAATCACTGCAGTACGTAGACACTGATCTCATCACATCAATTCTGCGGAACCTGCACGAGTACTCGGGGGATGTTTGCGAATTCTGGGAGCGCTTGCGTCGGACCCTCGAGATCGAGCTTGAGGGCACCGATGCAGTACATGAACTCGCCCAGCTGTTCGACAGCCCGTCTGTCGAGTCAGTTCCTGTTGGTGCGACAGGAGAGGGTGTGATTAACACTATACCGAAGGAATACAATTCCCGCATTTGCGTATCTGCAGATCAGGTCAAGACCACCAGCGACGCCTTAAATCAATACCTTAGTGCCAAGCCGGGACGGTGGGTGCTTCCACCCATCCTACACCTGGAGCTTGATCGTCAGCATTTGGATAAGGCAGCTCGGCAGTGGCGCCTCCTTTACAACCGGGTCGAGCTGGATGAAGAGCTAGATCTCGCACCTTATTTGCTGGATGATCAGGATGGGAAGTATGTCCTGTATGGGTACATCGTCCACCGTGGCCGACGCACCTCAGGCAAGTTCTTCAGTATTCTTCGCCCAGGTGGACCTGGTACCAGATGGCTGGCTTTCGATGATGGGAGCGACAACCGTGTCGAATGTCTGACTCGCAAGACTGCTCTGGGACCTCACCTTGGTCTGGACGCCTCGCAAAAGCCTGATCACAAGACCGGCCACGACGTCGCCATCGCAGTGATGTACATTCGCAGCGACGTCGTGCAGGATTACCTGCCTGGTCCTCAGGGACCGTGGGAGGTGTCCGCGCCGCTGAAGGAATACTACGAGACCGGAAACTTGCCTTTGGCTTCGACTGAAAAGGATGAGATCGAAGTTGAAGTCTACTCGCTTCCGAAGTACGATCAATTGGGCAGTCTATTTGATACCTACGATCTGATGGCACAGGCCAAAACGGCAAACAGCGTGATGTATCTAACGGTGCCTCGCTCGTCCAACTATGTTGATCTCCGCAAGAAGATTGCGTTGTGGGCGTCGACCAAGACGGAGCAGGCCACTAGCCCTGAATATGTTCGCTTGTGGCAGATTGGACACACTCGCGATCAGTTTGGGCCTACACTCGCTTTTGCCCGCATTACAGAGCTATCCAACAGTCTGGAGCTGCCTGCCAAGACGGTTCGCTTCTGGATGGAGATTGTTTCGGATGCAGATGCGAAGCTGTTCGCCATCGCGGACCCGCAGCAAGCCATTGCTATGGAAGCCAAACCAGAGGAGGCTATTCTTGAGCGAGACGGTTCCGAGTCTTCCGAGGATAGACAGTCTCTTCATGAGGTCGGCGCTGCCGAGCCTAGCTCATCTGGCAATATTCCTGAGCATTTGTTGGATAGCATTGTTCCGGAGCCAGTGTCTCGTGAAGTCGACCCTGAGACCAACCCACAGGATGCTGAAGCAGCCACCGAAAGCCAGGTCGCTGAGACAGCCCACGTTGAGGACACCGCTGCGAGAGATGAGAACGATGCCGTCATTGCTGCAATCATCGCAGAGGATCTTCAACAAATGGAAGTTGAGGCTTCTGAGCCCGTCTCCGTGGTCGAGGAATCCATCGAGACGCCCTCGGACGCTCCAGTTGAGACTGTTGTGAGCGTGGATGCCCCTGCAGAGGTTGAAGTCCCTCAACCAGTGGAGCACGTCTACTACTTCATCCAAGTCTTCGACATTGAGGCGCAGATCCTACGGACCGTGGGCTCTTTCTTCTCGAAGAAGGAAGAAAACATCAAGGCCGCTATCCGCAAGCATCTCAAGTGGGCGCCAATGAAGGACTTCCAGGTCTGGCAGCGTGTGGATGGTACCAACGTGACCACCATGGCTTCCGGTGAGACGTTCGAGACTTTCGTGCCCGATGGTACCTGCTTTATCGTTGGGGATAAGGTTAACAAGGATCGCCGTCTTAAACTCAACATTGCGGGCATGTTCGCCAACCCCGACCAACTTGTCCGCTATCTGTGGGCCGCCTCGCGCAGACATCCTACGCGGGCTCACACGGGTACGAAGACCCTCCGGGCCACGTTCACCAGCGAGTACTACAGCGGTGAATTCATGAAGGGTTACTTCCACGGCAAGGGCACGCACGTCTCCGACCTTGCGGCCACGTACGTGGGTGATTTCGTCCTGGGCAAGCGCCACGGCAGCGGCTATATGGAGTACCCGATTGGCGATACCTATGAAGGCGACTGGTTCGAGGGAGTCTGCCATGGTCAGGGTACCTTTGTCGAGCGCAAGACCGGCAACAAGTACGTGGGTGGCTACAAGGACGGCAAGCGCCACGGCAAGGGTATCAGTTACTGGGAAGTGGCGGACGAGGAGATGGATCTGTGTCAGATCTGCTATGGCGAAGAGCAGGATGCCTTGTTCTATGACTGTGGACATGTCTGCGCGTGCGTGACGTGTGCTCGCCAAGTGGACCTCTGCCCGATTTGTCGGAAGAGCATCATCAGCGTGGTGAAGATTTACCGGACTTGATTGGTATTGATTTTTGAAATTGCATTGGGGAATATTCTGAATGGTACAGAATGGAGTGACAAGGTGTTGATTGGTTTAGCAGTTGTGGCTATGGATATATGAAGGGGATGCTTAGATAGCGTGGTGCTTTCCGTTAGATACCTGCCTGCTACCTGCTTTTTGAAGTTCTTTTGATTGATGCATAGCAAAGTTTGAAAGATAAGATGGTTGTCCATAAACGTGTGAATGAAGATCGTTGCTTAAAATTCTCGCTTTGTTGCTTACAATCCATGCCTTAGTCACTTGCATTCCCGCTGGTCTGTTAAAGTACCTTCGAGGCTCAGTAGATCAGTTGGCCTTCTTAACTTTGATACACCTTAACATACAACATCTGCCAAAGAACCCCATTAATCCCCTCCAAACAGCCCTTTATTTTCAAATATAAGATTCAAATACCAACCCAAACACCAACGCAAGCCCTACAGTCATCCATCCGTATCCCTCATCTTCAAATATTCCCCACCAGCCCACCCAAAGCAAAAGCCCAACGACAACCAAATGCATATAAATTTCCCCCCGCAAACCACCAGCTAGGGCCCCCATCCACCCTAACCCTTTATCCCCCGCCAAATCCCCACCCAAAACCCCCCAGAGAAAGATTCAACACTTCCGATCCGCACACCACAACCGCTTATACCCACTCCAGCACCCGTTCCCGTAAGCCTGGCAGCAGTCCCCGCCGCGGGGCTGGCCGCGCTCCCAGTCGCAGAAGTACCGGGCGTTGCCGAACTCGGTCGTGGCGACGAAGGTGCGGCCCTGGCTGTCCTCGGTGCCCCCGTGGTCCGGGCTGGTGCCGCACGCCGGCGCGCTGCCCTCCCAGATGCAGTTGTTGTGGTCGCCGGTGTAGCAGGCTTCTGTCCCCGGGAGGAGAGGGGAGAAGGAGGGAGAGGGTTGAGAGGAGGGTGGGGTTCATAATATTGGGGAGGGGGGTTCTGTGGGATGTTGCTTGCTTGGAGGATATTACTTGTTTCGTGGGGTGGGTATGATTGTTCATAGGGTTTGGGGTTGGATTTGAGGTAGTGGGATTAGGATGTAGAGAGGTATCTGCTCGATGAATGCGGACTGGGTGAGTCCTACATATAGGGTGTTCTGCCTGAGTGTGAGTTTATAGAGGTAAAGCATAGGGCAAGCCTCAAACGTCAAGACTCCCATCTGATTCTAGTTGCATGGCTGGTTTTGCTGGGCTGTGAACCAGACTTCTTCCGAAGTAAACATGCTTGACGCGGACATGGGCCTGACACTCAATTCAGTATCACTGTCAATGATTCATTGACACCATCCACCTACACTCTAACCCTATCACAGATACAGTATACCCTATCACAAAATACAGTAGTCAACCAGTCTAGACTTTGCACAAACATAATGGTATCTATTGACGAACTTCAAACCGAAGCTATCTATCCATTTCATAACACTAAAACAACACAAAGTATGCGCCACCCATACCAAACACAAGACTAATGCTTTTGTTTCAAACCAGACATAATATATGCAAACCCAACTACCGCCATCTCTTATTTCTTGGCAGGCTTCTTGGCCTTTCCGCTCTTATTATCGGCCTGCTTCTTCGCGGCGCTCTTCTTCTTATCGGAGGGAGTAGTTGTAGACGTGGCGGGAGTGGCGGGGGTGGATTCTTGCGTCTTGGTCTTCTTCGCGGGCTTCTTGGCGGCCGGGGACGAAGTAGCCTCATCCTTCTTGGCCTTGGTGTCGGCATCGGCCTTCTTCTTATCCGTCTTAGGTGAGGCCTCCACGGCGGGCTTCTCGGTTTCGGAATCGCTCTTGGGCTTGGAGGAGGATTTGGCGGGCTTCACGGCCTTGGGGTTGAGACCCTTGCGACGCAGGCGGTTGCGCTCCGCGCGGGCGATGCGCTCGGCGTCCTGGTCGTCTTCCTCGAAGGGACCGAACGAGCCACCCTCGGTCTCCAGAACCATGCCGTCTTCATCGACAATCGGGGTCTTGTCGATGCTCTCGTCGTCGGTGGAGGGGGCGGACGGGGACTTGCTGGCCTTGCGGTCGGACTTGGTGGTTGCGGCGGCGGCGTCGCCGGGCTTGCCGGTCGGGGACGGGCCGGTCTTCTTGAGCTTGCAGACGAAGAAACCGTCGACGTTCTCACGGTGGGGGAAGTACCGGCGGGTCAAGGTCATCTTGGCGTCGAAGTGCTTGCCCATGTAGCTGGTCATACCGGGGCTACCGAAGTCACCCAGACCAGTGTCGACGAGCTTGACGTTGGGGCGCTTGCGCAGAATGTAGTTGACCACCGCCTCGTTCTCCTCCACGGTAACACTACAGGTCGAGTAGACAACGTAGCCTCCCGTCTTGGAGTTGTGGTCAACGGAGTCGATGGCGGCCAGAAGCAGCTGGCGCTGCATGTGGGGAATGGCAAGGAAGTCGCGCTCGTTCTTGGAGGTCTTGACGCTGGGATCCTTGGAGATAACGCCGGTACCGGTACAGGGAGCATCGAGAAGGACACGGTCGAAGCCACCCATGGCCTTTGGGAAGGCAGTGCGGGCATCCATGTTGGTCACGATGGTGTTCTTGCAGCCGAGACGGTGGATGTTACCAATCAAACCCTTGGCACGGGGCTTGCTGGCATCGTTGGCGATGACGGTACCAGTGTTGCGCATCAGAGCCGAGATGTAAGTGGTCTTACCACCGGGGGCGGAAGCCATATCGAGAACACGCTCATTGGGTTGCGGGGCCAGGGCCATGACGGGAAGGAAGGAGGAGGCGGCTTGGAGAATATAGTGACCAGCCAAGTACTCGGGAGTAGCACCCAGGGGAACGGCAGACTCGAAGACCTGCAGACCGACCTTGGACCACTTGCCGACGGGCTCGAGGACCACACCACGGTTGATCAAAGCCTGGGCCAACGACCGACGGTTGGTGCGCAGGGTGTTCGTACGGATAACAACAGGACGCGGGGTTTCGTTGGCTTCGAAGAAGGCAAACGCCTCCATGGGGGTGAAGAGGTTGAAGAGCTTCTCAGCGAGGTAGGGCGTATAACCGTAGTAGGTGCAGATGTCGCCGAGGAGCAGGTTGACGTAGTCGGTTCGCGACTTGCCGGGCTGGCCGAGGGTCTTCAGGTCGCCCAGGATACGGATGGTGTCGGTGATTCTCGTGCGGAGCAGCTGGAGATCGGGGGCCAGACCGGGCTGGCCCACGTCGTCGGCGAAGACGTCGGGACGGTCGCCCGCGATGTTGGTCTGCATGGCGGATTCCTGCAATTCGAGCTCGGCCTCTTCCTCCTCCTCCTGTCTCGCCATGTCCAACTTCCGGGACAAACCCTCGATGTTGGCCGCCGTCAGCCTCTCCTCCGCGTCGGAAAGGTCTTCATCGTCGGAGAACATGGCTTCGCGGGGGTGGTCGTCGTCCTCGGAGTCGACAACCGAGTCATCATCATCGGAGGCCATCTCGTCATCGCTCACGGCATCGAGGTCGCCGAACTCATCGTCCTGCATCTCCTCATCGTCCAGGTCGGACCACGCATCCTCATCATCCTCCTCCGCCTCGTCGTCCGAATCCATGAAACTCGACTTCTTGGCCGCGGCGGGCTTCTTCTGCTCCTTGCCCTGAGCCTTAGCCTTGGGCTTAGCCTCCACCTTGGTCGCCTTGCCGTTCACAGTACCATTGGCCTTCTTCTTGGCGACGGGCTTGACGGTCTCCTCCTCCTCCTCAGCGGCCGCTCTTCTCCGCTTCTTGCCCGACTCGGCGGGCTTGGTCTCGGGTTCAGCGGCCTTGCGCTTTTTGTAGATGGTGATCTTGGACTCATCCAGCGGGGCAGGAGGACCCTGCTTCTTCATGCGATTTCCCCGACCCATTGTGAGCAAGGACTGTGACAGAAATTCGGGGAAAAAAAAGGGAGTTTTGACAAGTCGGGTGCCTGTCTGATCAACTCGGGGGAAAGATCTAAACTTTTTTTTCTTTCCTTCGCCGTACATTTTTTCCCGCGGGCGGTCAGAGGCAGCAGTGCGGTGCGCCCACCGCCTTTACTTCTGCCTGAGGCAGAGACAGAATCCCCTGCCAGCATCAACATCCTCTCCTCCGATCCCGATCGGGTAATTCCATCCATCGACATCATATTTACCCCCCCCACTTCACCACCTCTTTTCTTTCTCCCCCAAACCCCACAAATCAACCCTCTACGAATCGCAGAAGCAACCCCATATTCATCAACAAAATGGCCTCCGAAATCTCCTTCGCCAAAGCCTTCCTCTCCGCTTTGGACAGCCGACCCATCAAGCTCCGAGCCGACTATGTCCACGACGACCCCAACGCCCGCATACCGGTATGTCCTCCGCAGCCCATACCCCCTTGCCCCCATTGCCCATATCCCTATACCCCCCTTCTGCCCCCATTTCCCCCCCGGCCTCCAATCCAAACCAAAGACCTAACAGAAGAAACAGCACCTCCTCCCCCGCCTCCAACCCCCACGCCCGACCACAATGCCCAAGAAGAAAACCCCCGCCGCGGCCGCTCCGGGCTCCTCGAAATCCATCACCGTGGTCCTCAAATCCGCCCGCAACCCGGCGCTGGAACTCAGCCTGCCCAACGTGCCCCTCGCCACGACGACCGCCACCGACCTGAAGGATGCGGTGCGGGCGCGGATCGTCGATGCCACATCCCAGAAACCCGCGCTCGAGAAGATCAAGATCCTCTACCGCAAGAAGCCCGTCACGGGTAATAAGACGCTAGCGGAGATGTTGAGTGAGGAGCCGGCGCTGTTGGTGGGTGGGAAGGAGGTGGAGGTTGCGGTTATGGTGTTGGGGGGTGGGAGGGTTGTTGCTGATGCTGACGCGGAGGGGGAGCAGGAGGGGGAGGGGAAGGTGGAGGATGCTGCGGCAGCAGTGGAGTCGGTGAGCAAGCCGGCGGTTGGGCCGAGTGGGGAGGAGGTGGTGAAGACGGAGGCGTTTTGGGAGGATTTGCAGGGGTTCTTGGAGCAGAGGATTAAGGATGCGGAGGAGGCGAGAAGGCTGAGGGGGTTGTTTCGAGAGGCGTGGGAGGGCGGGCGGAAGTGATGTTCTTTGCGTTTTGCCCTTTGCCCTTTGTCTGGGTTGATGGCTTGGTGGGTGGGTTAGGATACCTATAGGGTAAATGATACCCTTGTTTATATCTAATGTTGGAGATGTGGATATGAAATCTTCTTTCTTGTGTATAATGTGCCTCAATTGGTGCTCCAGCTAGTGCAGCGGGTGGTTGCACGTCTACTCAAGTGTTATGTCCAGCCATGTAGGGGCAGAAAATGTACAGGTCCATTCAGAAAGGTTTTAACGCAAGAGGATAGCAAGCACGGCAATCATTATACAGCCAGAAGCACACCCCCGGGCATACTAGAGGATCGAAACCCGCACAGCATCCAAGGAAGCAAGGTAGACGTTCGCGAAGACGATGGCGATATAAGATGCATACACAAGATGCATGGCAGAGGTATCAGTAAGCTTAGTGTAACAGAAATCCGGGGTCCTTCCCACAACCCACGGGAGAATGCTTGAACGATCGCAACGCAAAGCTGCAGCCGTCTTGATCCCAGTCCCATGATGTTATCTGGTTGGAAAATGTATCAAAATGGGGAAGCACAATGTCCCCGAAAAGAAAAGGTGGCGAGCGATGCAGCCGATCGAATAAAAAAAGGTATGAAGAGGAAAATAAGAACTATAATCACAAAGTAGAAAGGAACATATGCCAGGTATTAAAGACCGTTGCAAATGCTCAAGAAACTGGCCAATCGCTCATCCATTTCATGCGTCCAAGGAACATGCCATAAGAAAGTATCAGCTGGAAACAAAAAGAAACGGATTCATACATCGCGGAAGCTTTAAATTACCCCCCCCCCTCGTTATCTCGAGAAGACCTTGACGACGCCATCGCCTCCTCCACTGACTACCCAGCGGCCGTCGCGGCTCCACACGGCAGAACACACTCCTTCACCACGCATCAGCCGGTGACTCGTGATTTCTTGAGTGCAGCTCCGCTTCTCGAGGTTCCAAAACCGCAGACTAGCGTCGTGGCCTGCCGACACAAGCTCTCGTCCATCTGGAGACAGGGAGAGCGAGGCAATCGCTGACGGGTGAGCGAGCATAGTGTATGTGCATTGGCCTGGACGAGTGCAAATTAGTATCTGCGGAAAAGTCATCGTCAGAACATAACATACCGCTGTTGGCATCGAAGAAGCGAATATAACGGTCCTCGTATCCGCTAATGATCACCCCCTCGGCACCGCTTGACCCAGTCGCGCCATGAACAACCTCCTCTTCCGCCATTGTCCGGCTGGGATCAAGGCCAGCCGAGCCATCAAATCCGACTGTTGTGGCAACAACCGCATTGACCCCGGTCGAGGGCGTACCGTCGTACGTTTCTAGACTGGCCATCCCTGCAACTTCCTCACCCGTCCTCGTATCGTAAACTAGGATCGATGCGTCGGTGTAGGAGACAACAAAGTTGATACCTGCAAGCGACAATGGACTGATACACGTAGGCGATGGGGAATCCGAGCGCACAATCTGACGGACCATTGTGTAGTGGAACGGCGTGGTGGTTGCCGTGCTCGGTTGTGGCGACGATGGGAAGTTGGAACCGGACGAGATAGAGTTCGCTCGTCGGCTGCCTCCCGCTCGTCGAGATCCTGCTTGAGGCGACGAAAGCTGAGGTGGTGCGCTGACTGCCCAGATGATAATCCGCCCATCGGCACCACCCGACGCAAGCAGGATCCGATCAGGCCCGCCGTAATGGCTGCAGGAATCGCCAAAGACAGATCCCGCAGTTCCAGGAAGAACACACAGGCCCCATACTGCATCCGTGTGCCCTTCAAGTGTGGCCTTGGGATCAACCCTTCCACGTTCCCAGACACGAACGCTGGAGTCCTGTCCACCGGAGAACACCCACCCATCGCCAAGCGCGCGACCACCGTTGGAGAAGTTCTGTGATGGCGAGCAAGCCGCTAGCGCAGTCACAGCTCCTACATGTCCGCGGTGGGTGAAGTAGCTCGTGATGTCCAGATCGTTGCTCGAGTTGGCGCCGTGGGCGCCAAACGTACCATAGGTTGCCGGAATGATCCAGCGCTTGATTGTCCCATCATCGCTGCACGTACAGATCTCAGGCTCTGAAGGGCTGCCGCCACCCGTGAAGATCACGGAACGGACAACATCCAAGTGGCCTCGGAGAGCGAAACGAACCTTGAAGGAAGTATCTGGTTTCGACGCCGCAAGATCTGCAGCACCTTCACTCTTCCTTCTGGCACCGGAGCTCTTTCGGCGGTGGGAGACTGAACCACCCCGCGCCGGAGACTTGGCGCCCACAAAATTGGCATTTGGAAAAGCATCGACATCGGGGCGGTGAGGAGGTATTTGCTCAGCAGGGGGAGCTGCGTCCGCAGGTTCATCAAAATTCCAACCATCTGCATCGTCTACAGGTTGGGGTTGCCGGGTCTCCTCCTTGGTTGTGACTTGCGAACCGTATCCATTATATACCTGCTCCTCCGTGCCAGCACGCTCTTCCATTGGGGCAGATTCGAACCCTTGCTTCCGGTTTTCTAGAGCAGTCATCGGGGTCTGTTGCGGTTCCACGGGTCTTCTCTCCATTGCCTCCCTCGAGCCAGGAGGATACCCGAACTGGCTAGGAGCACGAGAAAGGGCGGCATTGTCCGGGAAATGCGTGATGATGGGCTGGTGATTCTGCAGGGCCACTTCCCGAGCCATCATATTGTTTGCCTGCTGCTGCTGCTGCTGGTGTTGTTTCTGCCGCTGCTGCTGCAGGTAGACCTCCTCCAAGGTCTGTTGTGACATTTGCTGCTGATTGCCGTAAATATGGTTCGGAAGGTCTTGATCGCTGAGATCGGGGGGCGGGTGGGATGAAGGAATGACGTGGTACGCAACTTCCTGCGAGCACTTGGACAGATATAACCGCGACTTATCCCGCTCGTTCTCTTGACGGAACTCGTGGCGGTTCTCAGGATTGTGCTCCGCATCGTTCACATCGCCTTGCGGCCGAGGATGTTGAGCTACGACGGGTTTGATAGTCAGTAAATCGTGAAGGGCTAGCAGACAAGTTTTAATATAGCAGGAGAAAAGAGAGAAAAGAAACCTTTTAATGCATTGATGCTCTCCCGGGCGATCTCCTTCGGATCCCGAGTGTCATCGACCTTCTCATTGTTAATGAGCTTCTTGACCTTCTCGCGCTCCTTCTTCAGGGCGGCCTCCAGCAAGCGAACGTGCTTCCCCAGCGATTCATGTAAGCGTTTACTCGTGCGGACATCGCCCTCCAGCTTTCCAATGCGGGACTTCATCTCCGCGCGCTCAATCTCCCAGGCGTTGCGGTCTCGTTCGTGCCGGTGCCATTCGGTCTGCAGAAAGCGCATCACACCTACACCACCACAACAAAACGGACAAGGGAAGAATTAGCATTCGTGTTTTCCCCTAAACTCTGCGCTTAAATCTCGGAGCTTCGCCTCACCTTGTAAAGTGTATTCTGTGCCCTGAGGTTGCCCGCCATTGGGTGAGCCATCACCTCCGGGCCCGACGAAGCCTCCACCCCCAGCCATGGCCGAGGGAGACTGCCAAGCCATGCGAGATCAACAATGGGAATGGGGAAGCGGACGATCAAGCGGCGAGGCGAGCCGGGATATGAGCTCCGGCGATCGCAAGCGGAGGGAGGAAGGTCCGAGCTGAGGAGGGGGGAGCGATACCGATCAGTGGAACTCGGGGGGGGAGGTCGCACTTCTGTTTGAGAGATAGGTGGTGGTAAGTTCAACAGGGTCAATGACGGGGCGACAACGGCAGGACACCACGTTCCAGACCGGTCAGCACCGATGGATAGGAAAACAAACAATGCGAAGTTTCGATGTGAGAGGAATCAACGGTCGCAGGAGGGAACTTCCAGCGGACAAGGAAAGGAGAAGGGTCAGCGATGCAAGCTTGACCCAAGAGATTTGGGGGGGTGGTGGTAGTGGTGGAGGGACTGGGACGGTGGTCACTGGTCACTGAGTGGTCACCGGTGCGCGTTTCTCTCCAGTCGCTGCTTGTGAGTTGAGGTCGGGGAAAGCCACCGCCGCCGCCGAGCTGTCGTTGGCTCCCTAGGCGCCCACGCGGCCTTAACCGCTTTTAGCGCTGGCTGGTGAAAGAAAAGTGGTGGGCTGGCCATTGGCCATTGACTTTTCCCAACCTCTTTGAATTCATGGCGGTCAATAGACCAGCTGTCGCAATCGACTCAAAAACGTTTCTATTGTGGTGGAGTAGTGCGATAAGGGTGGTAGTGTTGGCGACTGGACTGCTTTGCACCCTGCCTAGTACTCCGTACCTAAAGTCCACTTCAAATGTACTAGACTACGTCCTGGGCTAAGCTACCATTAAGCTCTGTGATAGTCAAAAACAAAAAAAAAAAAAAAAGAAAAGAAAAGAAGAAAAAGAAAAAGAAAACGAAACCTATGGCACTCTTTTCCGTCCACTTAACAGGGGGCAAGTCTCGCCGCATCTAGACCTCAATACCTACCTCTACAACAGCCACAAAAAACTTCTAGGAAACGGTCAAGTCTTACATGGAAGGTTCGTCAATTCTGCGCATTTTACCACTAGGAGAGGATGGACGCACAAAAAGGGAGAGAGGGCTGTGGTTCCTTTCACGTGATGATAAGGAAGTAACTACGATAAGAAGAGTCAGGAGAAGCGCATCCGCGACAGGCTGAGGTCCGAGCTGGCACATTCCTGCCATTCAATCATTATCTCGACGCGAATTGCGCCGCAACTCAATTCATGAGTACTCAACAAATTCTTCACATGACTCATCATCATCCCTTTCCTGCCCGTACAGAACCTCACAGACACCGCCCACAGGAACATCCAGCACAGCATCTGTACCTTCGCTCCAGATCTCCTTCCAGTTGATCTTGCGGTTCTGCGGGCCCATGATCTGGTACGATGTCGCACCGGGCCTCATCTTGGCTCCGCCCCCGGGTCGTCGTCGACCCTTGCCGTCAATGACTGCGACATTGGCCACCTCATCCACGATATTCTCCACGCTGTTCATCGGCAGCGTGAGATAGCCGGTGTTGTAGGAGGCTAGCGCAACATAGATGTAGATGATAGACATGACTAGCCAGGAAGGGAAGGCCAGTGACCACCATCGATTGGGATAGTAATATATACCGAGTTGGTGAAGGAAGGGGGAGGGGAGGTAGGACCAAAGGATGTAAATCACTGGGGAAGAAAAGGTGATTAGACTTTGCTCGTTGCGCTGGGTCTCAGCCGGGGGTTACACTCACAGAAGGCCAACGAGGACGCAAGATACAGAACGAAGCCGTAGTATTCATATGTCGGAACCTTGGGGCTAGCCCGTGGGACTGTTGTTGCCCGCCGCGCGGACTTCGCGACAGCAGCCTCCGTGTCGTTGGGCGTTTCCACATCCGAGCTGTCGGGGGTGGTCGGTCGCGAAGTGGTGGTGGAGAACGGAGGGCGAAGGAGAGAGGTCAACGAGGGAGACGGTGGTAGTGGTGTCGGAGGGCGATTGTAGAATGGAGGTGCAAACGCGTTCGGACCGTGCAGTGAGCCGGACGACTGCCGGAATGGATGATGCATGGAGATGCCATCCTCCGGCGATGGCTCCGAGTCCGTGGATGCATCGGAGAATGATTGGTCGTCCAGAGAGTATTGCGATTGGAAGTCTGCATCGTCCTCGGCTTCTATGTCTGCGTGCAAGGGCGACGGCAGGTCCTGGTTGTCGTCATTCTCGGTATATGTGTTGGTTTGTACCTCGACAGTGTTGGTCGCGAAATCGTCCGCGGGGAGAGGCGGGAACGGCTGCTTGGGTTCGAAGGATGAGCGGCGCGGGATGGTGTCGATTCCGTTTGACAGGTACTCTGAATTTGATCTTTTCCCTTCATCCCTCCGGGCCATCATGAGTAGCTGAGGGGCTTGAAGAACAAGGGCCCCATTGAAGACTCGGGAGGATCTTGCGGTTACCTCGTTGCAATTGCGACTCCTTGTCGGTAGGGCCACATGCATATTGCCAACCCTCACCGCCATTGACATCTATCCCTTCTGGATGGATAGTAAACACGCCATCCATTAACCACTTGCGAAGAACAACACATCTTGCGGAACATGTCTGCTCAAGAATGTACGATATGGCTTGAGCCACTAGACCCGACGATGTGGATTGCAATTGGTCCATGCTAGGCTCTTGCTCAATAGAAGCATTCTATGGTTCCATGCAGAAGTACTGTATATTTTTCACAGCGAAAGCTATCCAAGAAACCTGGAAGCAGTGCGTGGATGTGACTTTGTTTGTCGGAAAATGGCACCCACAAATAGCCTCAACTCACACCACTGTCCCTGTGGTAATGATAGTCAGAGCTTTGGTTCACGGATTAGGATCGTGATCAATCTCTGTCTGAACAGCTGATTAGTGCAGCTGTAGGGCACATATGCCATTCATCGAAGGCCCTGACTCGGTGAACGATTGAGACTACTTCCACATGGAACAAAGAACAGATCAAAAGAACGACACAGAAAAGCGGATAATGACTCCAGTCTCGCTGCTTAATCCTGCCTGCTCCATCCTGCTCCCATATACGGAGCGGAGTGAAGCGAAATCATGATGCAGCGTCTAGCGAGATAAGCGGGCTGAAGGCAAAACACAAGACGAGGCTGAACCAAAGCATAAATGCACCTGGCGTCATTGTGATCAATCACCACCATCTTGTAATCACTGAAGGAGTATAAATCAAGCTCATTCCCCTTCCCTCCTTTCCCAGCTTTCTACTGTACTACTTCGTTGTTGGGCTGCTCATGAAATTTGACTGACAATATTACTACCGAGATGAATACTAAGACTTGACCAATTTTCCCTGGCGCCAAACCCGCGTCACGTTCTTCGAATTCCCTATTATAGTGATATCCTCCAGCGGATTGGCTGCTAACGCAACGATATCGGCATCATACCCAGCGCGTAGCAGCCCACTCTTGGGCGCCTGGTCCCCCAATGTCAACGGCCCATTCGCCGTAGCGGCCTGAATCGCAGCCAACGGCGTCATTCCTGCCTCCACCGCGTACTCCAGCTCCTTGCCGTTGCGCCCATACGCAACAGCCGGATTATCCGAGCTGATGAACTGATCCGTGCCCAGGGCGATGGTGACCCCGCGCGCAACCGCCAACCGGTACGCCTGCTTGTGTGCATCAGCAACCTCGAGCAGCTTCTGATATGATCCCGGCGTGAAGAGCTGGCGCATCGATAGGCCTGTCTCAATCACGCTGCGGGTAGCGACTAGGATGGCGCCTTTCTCGCGCATCAGCTCGACGGCCTCCTCGTCGAGAAAGCTGCCGTGCTCGATCGTGCGACACCCGGCGCGCAGCGCGTTCATGATCCCAGCCTTGCCGTGGCAGTGGGCGGCGACGACGCGTTTGGCGCGCGCAGCCTCGTCAACGATAGCTTTCATCTCCTCGAAGGAGAACTCCTGGTGCTGGGGGTCGTCGATGGCGCTGACGACCCCGCCGCTGGCGCAGACTTTGATCACGCGGGCGCCGTGACGAAGCTGCTTGCGCACGGCTTGCAGACACTCTGGCACCCCGTCGGCAATGGTCAAGGGGAGCCCATGGGCGCACATGTCCTGGAGTTGGTGAAGGGGCATGCCGTGCACGTCGCCGTGGCCGGCGGTCATGCTGATTGCGCTGTGAGCGCCGTAGATGGTGGGTCCGAGGATGCGGCCCTCGTTCACGGCGAGCGCGAGTTCGCACCCGTAGCCACCTACTTCACGGACGGAGGTGAACCCTGCCATGATAGTTGCATGGAGGTCGGGGACGCTTCGGGCCCCGGCTAAAGCGGGTGTGGTTTTGACGACCGCGTCCATCGTCGCCGACGTCGCGCCCATGTAGTGGATATGGCAATCCCACAGCCCCGGCATTACCACGGGAACGTGCGACGCCGTTGCGTCTTGGTATTCTTGAGGTAAGTCGGCTTGACGTCCCACATAGAGAATAGACTTGGACTTCCAGACCACGGCACCGTGGAGAAGGGGCTCTCCCTGCCCCGGAATGAGGAGATCGGCATCGATGCGGTAGAGGCTGTCGTCTGTGAGTGATCGATACATTATTGCATCAAGGTTGTTGTGAGATTAGATGCAAGGGTGGAAAGGAGGAGTCAGGGGTGAATCCACGGAGTCATGAGTAGGGATGTCTATAGAGCCGAGCCTCTGAGTCTGCTTATATTATAGCACTTTCGCTAGGCTGCATGCTCCACAAATGCTCCGATAGCTCCAGACCATGGCTCCGCATTTCCTGGGACTAAGGTATAAATGGTCTTGCGGGCCTGTCACATATTGGCCGTGGATTCTTGCCTGGACAGTGACAGCAAACCGTTGGAGACCATACCATACTGGCCAAAGCACGCACCTAGACAGGCGAGTGTGCGAAAAAAGTATTCAAAACATGTTTTTTCTAATTCCTGGGTGGCATGGCATGGAACAGAAGTTGCTGAGGGTAGGACCTCGTCAAAGCGAGAGCTTTGATGCTCATACGACCGTTCGTCGTACAACCATAATGCGCGCATTGCACGGTTCAAATAGATGGTATCCTCAATCTCTGACGTGATCCACATTTGCTATGCACGGGTCAATAAAGTAGGTCGAAGCGAGCAGTTTTCGACCCCAATTGAGAATAGTGAGACATACCAGACGTGACGGTAATACTGGTGAATTAATAAAACAGCCACCGGTAGACTAGCAGACACCAGGCCCGCATAGGGCGAAACAAGCCTCCGCCCGTTTATTAATTGCGCGCGAAGTACATTCAAATGAGCGAATGCATGCTGTGATCGGATGAGGTACTTCTACCTGCCCGCCTCTCGAATGTTTTGCCAGCTTCAGTTCAAAATTTAAACATCGAAAGGGCCAAAGGGTTCTGTCACATCACCAGCAGAGGAATAAGACACAAAGTATGGCTCCTTCGGAGGATACCACGCCGCCTATGACGGCGGACGAGAAGTCGTTCTCCAAAGGCCCTCATGAGTCTGTCGACGATGTTCAGCATATTTCGGATAGGGAACAGAAAGCCATCCTGCGTCGAATTGACCTCTGGTGCGTCGCTGTCTTGAGGCTGAGACTCGATACCTATCTCAGGATATTCTCGAAAGACCTAATCTGACACTCGTCGTTATAGTTTGCTCCCCCTGATGTTCTTCTCGTACTTGCTGCAGTACCTCGACAAAACAACCCTATCCTATACATCAATCCTAGGCCTTCTGAGTGGAACGGTATGATTGTTTGACCATCCTCAACCATAACTCATTTTGATTTAACGTTTCGTGGCGGAGATAGCATATAACCACTGCACAGTATGCATGGGCATCAAGCGCATTTTACTTCGGCTACCTCGTTGCCTCATATCCCGTGTCATTGGGTTTCATCAAGTTCCCCATCGGAAAATACCTTTCTGTCATGATGTTAGCCCTCTATCCACCCCTCAATGAAGCAGCCTTGCATTCAATGAGTCGAGCTGACATATGGTGAAGGGTCCTGTGGGCTATCATTCTGACCTGTCATGCAGCAGCTTCGAATTTTGCCGGTTTGACCTCACTGAGAGTCCTTCTTGGGGTGTTCGAAAGTGCAATCAGCCCGGGATTTACAATGCTGATTGGCATGTGGTATACCCCGTCTGAGCATGCGATGAGGAGTTGCATCTGGTTCTCGGGAAACGGAATAGCCGCCATCTTTGGAGGTGTGCTTGCGTACGCCATTGGTCATATTGATGATCATTTGGGCGCCTGGCAGGTATGTGGAATGCAGCTCACGGCAAGGCTAAGACACCAGGCATTGCCACGAAGCCTGAACCCTAGTTGAACCTACTGACTGACAGTTCCTTGTCCTCGCAATAGTGGCTATTCATCATATTCGGCCTGGTTTCAATCGTGTGGTCGGTTTTCCTGTTCTTCACTCTGCCCGATTCGCCCCTCAATGCCAATTTCCTCAAGCCCGATCAGCGAGGCCCAGCCTACTATCGTGCACAAGCATCCCAGAAGAGTTACCAGAGTCGGAGGTGGAAGAAAGACCAGTTCATTGAGGCGCTGGTCGATCCGAATACTTGGTTCCTAGTGTTGTACAACTTCTTTGTCTCACTGCCGAATGGCGGCATCACCAATGTAAGTTTCCCCGTAGACCCGCTCCGAAAGTACTCCAGAAGAGCCCGGCAAAAGCAACCTGCTGAATCTAAGTAGTTCGCCAGTATTGTCATCGAGTCGTTCGGGTTTGACACTTTTCACACACTACTATACGAGATCCCCTTGTCCGCTGTCGCTCTTGTCATGCTCTTTGCCATCGCCATGACGTGCAACCGTTTCCCTGGCCTGCGCTGCTACTGGATGATCTTCACTCTCTTGATCAGTCTGGTCGGTATCCTTCTCATGCGGCAATTACCCACGCATCGGAAATGGGGTAGACTGGTAGGAGTCTGGCTCGTGACTGTCTTCGGAGCCGGCTGGCCACTGAGTCTAAGTCTGGTCTCCAGCAACACAGCGGGCTTTACCAAGAAGGGCACCGTGACTGCTCTTATTTTCATTGCCTATTGTGTTGGCAACATTGCTGGTCCGCAACTTTTCAAGAGCACTGAGGCCCCTCGCTATAACGTAAGTGGATTCTTAATGCTTCAAAGAGGGACAAATCCGCTAACTTCTGCACTAGACTGCATTCTCAGCTATCCTTGCGTGCTTCTGCCTTGCTGTACTTGATGTCATTGGCCTCCGCTGCTATATGGTCTGGGAAAACAAGCGACGCGATCGCAAGCAGGGACGAACCATCGAGCCCGAGTCAAGCAAGTCGGTCGACACGACTGATGCGTCCTTCAAAATGGGTGGTGACGGAGATGTCTCTGATTGGCGGAATCAGAGCTACCGATATTGCCTCTAACTCGAAAAAAGTAGAATGATGGCCGGGGAGACGGACTTCAACGAGTCTAATCTTTGAGTATAATGACAGTCTCCTGAATTGTGCGCTGTTGGACTCAAGAATATAGATCATATGCAGAAGACTGATGCAAGTCAACGCTTCTAGTAGTTGTCATTGAATCCTTGTCGTATCTCAAGCCAAACAAGTCAAGCAAGACTCGTTTGCCACCCTAGAAACTCCATGACCTCCTCCCATTCGAAGCGACCAATGCGTATCTGTGCGACTCCATCTGAATTCAGCGTACGGCGTTTCCATAGCAGCTCAACTAAGGTCTGTGCCCTCATTGTGTTTTCGTATGGCGCTTTTTCTCGAGCAGTCCGAAACAACGCTAGAGCCTTGGCCTGTGCCTCCGAATCTGGATCGCTACAACAAGCCGCGATGAAGAGGGGCCATAGAGGCCAGGAGATGGGTAAGAAGTCTAGTTTCGAGACAATCTTATCCACCAGAGTAAGAATTGTGTGGACGTGATCCTGTATTTGCACAGAATCAAACTCTTTGATATTAGTTGGCGTGAACCCTAAGAATGAAGATTTGGATGCTTCAGAGAGGAGCAGAAAAGCGGCAAGACGATAAGCCTCGCCTGTATGCTCTAGCAAGCGGTATGAGTTAGCGCGTTCGGTGGCATGGCGGTAGTTTAACGATGAGTCTGGAAGCGTTTGCGTGACATTGCCAATGCTGGCTCTCAAGCCTAGTATCTTGGTTTCAATTGACGCTTGAGCTGCAACAATCACTGTCGGTAGATCCGAAGTATGACGGCGATTGAAAGCAAGAACATCCTCTCTGATAGTCAATGTGTCATTTATCAAGAGAAGAAGGTGATCACTGAGGCCGTTCCATATGTCTATTTGATGAAGAGTGTTCGAATCCATCACGCCCAACAAGGCGGCTGTCGAGGTCCAGGAAGTCTCGCGCAGATCCAGGGTAAGAGCCGGTGTGCTCTTAGTGTCAAGATGAAGTGGTGGTTCAACGACAGGCAGCAAACCCTCAATGGGAAACATAGACTTGGCGAGTACCAGATGTGCAGAGAAGTAACTGACAAAGAATCGGTGCAGGAAGGACTTGCAAAAGCTCCCTTGAGCTGCCCGCTTGACAAGGAGCTGGAAGCAAGTAAAATGACGCACCCAGGACGAGTCACAGCTGGCGGAAATCTAGTAAATATAATCAGGGAGAAGGTCGATACCAGAAGGACATCACAAAATGATTTCATCACTCACTGCCGAGGAGCAAAGAAAGATTGTTGGCACGAGGACATCCTCAGTGTCCCAAGACTCTCGTGCCAATGCTTGTCGCAACCCTCCAAGTACCCGTTGCCGCACTTGCATCTCCAAGATTGCGTATCGCGAATCAAACGAGCGCATATACTGAGAACTAGCCATGAGGACTGCATAATACGTCAACTCCGACCTGAAAGCCATACGCATCACCGTACTGCGGAGCGGATTGTTATTCTCATCGTCAACAGTGACAGCAACGGGACACATGACAGATTCATAGAACGATAGACACAAATGATCAACGTCCGCTATGCCAATACTCCATGGGAGAACACGCAGTGCCCTGGCTATTGACACTGATTTGCGACGATCCCATTGATGGTAGCGGCGCTGGTAGACGGATTCCGGAGCCTGGTTGCTGGCTACCATGTTTTGTTGTGGGCTGTGGCAGGCGGGTGGAGAGCCGATCGACACAGCTTTCTCTTCGCCAGCAGCCTGACAGGTATCAACTTGATCTTTGCGTTTGGTCCGTGTCCACGGCTCCATGGCCGTATCAGTCAATCGTTTACGCACAGGCGAGTTCATCTTCGATTGAACGCCCGTTCGTCCATGACACTTGCCTACTGCACGCATTTCGTCCTCCCACTGCAAGCGGACCTCATAGCTGCATGCATATCCGGACCGCCTGCATCGCATGCAAGTGGGATGAGTTTCTAGAAGCAGGAAGGAACGCTTGTATGTGAGCCATTACTTCCTGCCTTCCTGCTCGAGGAACGGTATACATACCATCGCATTTCACCCGTCTACGCCGACAGGTGTTGCAGCCCGTACGAGACCGCACCTTGGGCTTGGGAGGCTGAGGTGGCTCGGGCGGAGGAGTGGCAGCTATAGACCATGAGAGAAACATGTCTCAAGCTGCTGAAATGGAATGTCGTAGCGAGGCTGGTTTGTGCTGCAACAGGAAGTCGTCGTCATGTAACCGCGCAGGATACCACGAATTGTGGGTGAATCGCGGAAGGCAGCAGCAACAGTTGGAGGGGCCATGGTTGGAGGATTTTGACCATCTCCACCTCCATCCTCGTTTGATCCATCAGGCCAGTGACTCCCACAAATCAAATTATGAGGAGCCACCTGTAAGTGACTAGAGTCTGGTCGGTGCATGGCGGACCGCAAACTAATGGAGAGGGAGGGAGAGGGCGGGACTCCGAGGGAGATGGTCGATCGCGCGAAGTGGGGAAGAGGAAGGGGGGAACAACGGAAACTTGAGTTTGGCAGCTCTTGTGGCTCCGCGGCCCTCCCGGTACCGGGTCCGGTCACAACGGATACCGCCCGGGTAATACACTAGTAGCAGTGTATTGTACTGTATCTTGCACATAGTAGTAATCGGTTGTATCCTGGAGCCATCATCGGCGATCCCAATTTCTGATCCCTGTCACTCGATAGAATGTTTCTTTGGCATTGCATCCTGTACCAGTCTCAAAATGTCTTTTCTTTTACGCAACCACGCGCAGGCGAGATTCTTCCATTGTCCACTTTCTCATCTCGGTTCCCGCTCGGTCCCGAGGAGCGGCATGTCGGCAGTGGCATTGGTCTGGATCTTGATCTAGTTAGATCCCTGCCTCACGCCATCTCGATAGTGCCTTTTCCGTGAAAGCAGAACATCGTACCTGACGGCCAGTCTCCGAACGGGCGCAGGATCGAATGCCTGTCAGTTCGCCTCTAAGGAGCGCGATATTTACGAGACCATGGGGCTTCTAGGCCCCCTATATGAGCGCCAGATATGGCAGGCCGCAGTCAGAGAATCAAAAATTTGCAGCTCTCCCTGATATTCTCAAGCCAACACCCTCGATGCAAATTCAAGTCGACTGATGCCTCTGTTTGAACGATTCATTCGCCATCATGGCCAGGCCGGAACAGTCCGCCTCGAGAGAGGCTCTGGTGATCGTGGGTTATGTCGTACCGATGGCCGGGATGCTGTTGACCACGGGAATGAGGCTGCTGGTCAAAATTCGAGGTCAAGATGATAACTTTCACATGGATGACTACTTGATAATGCTTGCAACAGTGTGTTCTCCTTTCTGTGTTCTCCTTTCCGATGTGGCCAATTTCTCAATGGAAGCTGACGATTTTATTTCTGAGAGGGTAGACATTAGAGGTAGCATACTCAGTGACAATGATGGCTTGTGGTAGGTGACGCAAGTAGCACTACAAAAAACAAGGACAATGACTGAGAGCCCTAGGTTTGGGTCATGGGTTTGGCAAACATACCTCCACCGTCTCGGTGAAGGACCTGGAAATCTTCTTAAAGGTACAGCACGATGGACGCAGATCGGTTCGAAGCAAAGGATTAACTTAACTAGGGAGAGTATGTTGCCAGTCACCTCTACAACGTAGGTCTCGCTTCGACCAAGCTCGGAATTCTCGCCCTATACTGCCGCATTTTTCCTGTGCGATGGTTATCGAGAACAGTGATAGGATGCGCGATATTCATTTGCCTTTGGATCACAACTATTGAAATCTTTATGGGAGTGCTCTGTCGTCCGCTAGCTGCATTCTGGAACCCGTCTGTCAAGGGTCACTGCTTCAATTCTTCGGCCCTGTCATACTACATTAACTGCTCCAATATGGTTACGGACATAGTCATCTTCGCCTTACCAATACCCGTCATTCTCCAGCTCCGCACGACCCCCACCAAAAGGATTGCACTGTGCGTTATATTCTCTATTGGATTCATGTAAGGCTTTTCTGTCCAGGAAGCTTCACATCCGGTGCTTTTATCTAATACTCCATGGTTCACCTCCAGCACATGCGCCATCAGTGCTGCCAGACTAGCTTATGTCTTTGCACAGAACTCTAGTGACATCACCTGTAAGTCAATTTGCAAGGTTCGAACATGGCGTGTTTTCAATTGACTGACATCATACGCAGGGGAGGGTGTCCCCTTGGCTGTTCTATCCGCTTTCGAATCCTTTGGAGGCATCCTCTGCGCCAACCTCCCGATCATTTACCGGCTCTTCCGCTCAGCCGCTCAGAAGATGACCAGCCGTACTGGAAATAGCTCGTCCGCCCCCAAGACACCTCGCCGACAGTACGGATACGGATCGAACATGTACGGCTCGAAAAGTGTTGGCCGAAGACCCCGCGGCGTCAGTGCAGTTAATGATGAACAATGGATTCGATTACCGAATGGCAACCTGTCCCACGGAACAACCCATGAGACTGGAATTACAATTGTGACCCAAGTACATGAAGGCTCCCACACGGAGGAGAGTGAAGAGGATACAATAGAGCTGGTAGTGATGCCGAAAAATGCGATCACGGTTCAGAGAGAGGTCCACCAGAGCGTGGAAGATAGCAATTCGTCATAGGAAAAGACAGGGCAACCCACCCCTCACTCGCACCAATACCACAATTTGATATGTTCAACCAGCATCCAAATGGCTTGATTATACCCCCTTATTAGAATCTTGTGCGAGCTCGGCCTTAGACCTCTGGCGAGGCTTTGACCCGCAACTTTCATTGGACAGAATGTTGTCGGAGTATAAGTACGCACACGGGTACACATAACAAATCGATACATGTTGACTGCGGCGATTATGCCCCACTTAAAGAGGCCCATCCTGGCACTCAATCTGCAAGTAAATGCCGAGAAGAGTAGAAGCCGCCGACGGACAACTCCGCTGGCCCTGCACTAGATTTCGGACAGACTCCGATCTCTTAAGTGGTACGAAGCTGACTACTGACCCTGAAACACGGCTTCTATTTTACAGACCTCGACTTTGTTGTACCATACGATTTATCTTCATCTTGTTAACATTGTAGTCCTGGTCATGTGCTGAGCTCGGACATTGATGATTCAGCGAAGCCTCGAGACTCATCTATGAACAAAAAGCTACTTGATGGGGAAAAAGATTTGGACTGTTACAATCTTCGAACCCCCGGCTAATTTTGAGCACGTCACTGACTCGTGCAGTATCTTTCCGCCTCAGGAAAAATAGACAATCCTAGCAAGCATTTCACTTCCTGGGCGTTAAGACTATCAAAAAATCACAATGATTCAAACCGAGACAGAGGTGATCCTCGGACCTGTTGGCCCAAGCACCTGATTCCTGTTCCCGCTCAGAGGAATACAGTACAGGGGCTACTCCATCGTCAAGACCGCGCGGAATCTGACCTTTCCTTTCACCATGGCATCTGTGCAGAGAATACACGAGTCAGTATGACGGTCCTTAAGTTCTCAGCTTTATGGAGAGAACTGCAATTTCGGAGGGTTGGAGTTCGCGTGCGAAGGGTGTGGTCAAGAAGCTACCAGGCTCAACGGAGCTGACCTAGCGAAATTCCATCTTCACAAACTTGTCCTTCCCGCAAGAAGCGCCCTCATCAATCACACAAGAATATATAGCGAGTCTTACCATAGGCCTCATTGGCCTTATCCAGCGCAAACTCCTCCACCATGCAGTTGATATCCTTCAACTCGGTGAAGGCAATGGCATCCTCGCTGTCAGTTGCATGGCCTGACGGCCAAACCTGCACCGATAGTCCTTTATTGACCTAGCAAAGCCAGCATCAACATCCAGTATCACGCCTAGTGTAAAGCTAACTTACCATGATTGAGGTGTCCACTGGCACCGGACCCGGCACTAAGACTAGTGTCAGCCCCTCGTTCCCACCACAATAGCTCAACCATCATCTCTTTCATACTTACCTGACAAGATCAACAACTTCCCCAGAACTCCCAGCCCCTTCAGCAAAGGACTGATGATCGCTGCATTTGGGGCAGTCGACATGACCAAAGAGGCTCCACCCAGCCGCTGCAACTCCTCGCTCACATTCACCTGACTCTCGTCAATATACTCGTGCGCGCCGAGCTCCCGGACCATCTTCTCCTTCTTCGAGTCTCGCGAGATGGCTACAACTCGATACCCCATCTTCCGCGCATACTGAATAGCCAGATGACCCAGTCCGCCCAGCCCTTGTACAGCGACGATCTCCCCGGGCATAATATTCATATGACGGAGAGAGTTGAAGACGGTAACGCCAGCGCAGAGAATAGGGGCGTATTTTGCGGCGGAGACGTGCTCGGGCACCCGAACCGCAGCTTCGACGTTGAGAAGACAATATTCAGCGTCTTGGTCATAGATGTCAGCAATTCAGATTGATAACCACGGGATAAGTGAAGAAGCAGATGAACGAACAGCCACCGTTCTTGGTCTCCCCATTCACCTGTCCGGAAGAGCACATCTGGAAAAAGCCCTTATCACAGGCTCTGCAGGTACCTGCAGGTAGTGAGTTTTACAATCAAAGATCCGGGAATGGCTGCGAAGGGGAGGGCTCGGTACCGTCGTGACCTCCATGCCAGCCTCCACCAACCCGATCCCCAACCTTCCAGTTCGAGACGCCGTTTCCGAGGCCAGCGACGCGGCCGATGATCTCATGGCCCGGCACGATAGGACTTCACATGCAGAGGACGATTTAGTCTGTATGCTGGAAAAAAGGCAGAGCAGAGAGTTCTTCAAGCAAGTACTTACAACCCTCCACCCATGACATTATTCTGAGCCCATCGATCCGACGAGCAAACGCCACAAGCCTCGACCTTGACAAGGAGCTGACGGTCGCCTGGAGGAGTAAGGGGGCTCTCTTCAATCACGAGCGGCGATCCAGCAGAGCGGAACACCGCTTGCTTGAAAGTTGCAGGAAGGGACATCTTGACCAACGCGACGAACCACTGAATCTTGGAGAAAGATACACAGGGAGTGAGATGAATTTGACCTTCCGGACTAGATTCATGAAACGGAAAGCATAGCCGCTTGACGTGCCACTGCTTCCTTTTATCTACAACAAGCCTGTGCGGGGTAGACAAGCTTCGCAGATATTATTCATTGCCGTATTCAAATCCTGGAAATTTTCTCGTATCTATCTAGATGTGGCAGGAGTCTGAGAGGTCGGAGATACCGCGGTCAATGCTGCATACGGCTAGTAGGGAGGCTCGGTGTTGGTTCCAGATCCTCCGCCTGACTGTCTAGACGTTATCGCAGTGGATCTACGATAAGCACATCGCAGCTGCTGGGCTATTGACTACCAATGCAAGCAGGAGAATTACTTTGCTCATTGATAGAGCCGTCATGTAACATGATGATGCAAGTGAAGTCAGTGCGGGGCCGACGCAGACAATGAGCTGCGGCCGAACCTCGTGTTGAATTACTCATCAAGATAAGACCATCATCATTGAACCACGCCAGCGTATGAGCTGATTTGTGGAAGCTTGACTGGTGTGCGGATAATCTCTTCGTCTAGAGGCTTATGCGGAGCTATTCGGTGTTCTAGCTGATTTCTGCAAGACAAGCTTTTTTAATTCGGGGATACTCAGACGGCCATGAGCTTTGCATGAACAGTATACGAGGTGATGTTCTCATCACCGTAAAACATGCACATCTGTCAGCAAAGATTTGAGGGGCTTGCTCTTCTTCAGGGCCATAGTCCGCATTTGGCTGGAAAAGAAAAGCCGTCTGGTTAGTCGGTCTCCATTCTAGCTATGTCAAGCCGCGACAACCTGCTCGTCAAGTAAGGCACCGCGCGCTACCACCTCTACAGTCTGGTTTATCCCCTTCATCTATGTACTCGTGAGAGACGTGTCATATCATTGAATCTTATTGGATCTAGGGGTCAATCAGTCTAGTAAGGTATTTACAAGCGACATAGAATGACGGACTTCGCTCCAGCTCGATACTATGCAAAGTAAAGGCTCAAAGCTTTGAATTCACCTGCACTCTATTGCCTGCCGGCTCCTCTTGATGGTTACTCTCATCGCATTTTATCATCGGAGAAGAATCAGGCCGCGGTAGAAACCGCTCCTCGCTTTCCCTCAGCTCTTTAACCCCAACAAGCCCATAAATCTCCGACAACGACGCATCTCCCTCCGAAGAACCACCATCGCATCCTGCATAGCCCTCACCGCAGCTCGAAGCGCCTGGTTCGCGAATATAACCACCTTGAACCCGGAATCAAACAGCTCACCCGCCGAGATACCCTCATAGGTCGTCGGAACCGCAACGAGAACACAAGACGACGAGCGGTCCCACGCCGCCGCAAACTCCCTCAACTCCTCGAACGAGTCCGACTTGGAATGCACGAGCACGGCGTCGGCGCCCGCGTCTGCGTACGCCCGCGCGCGCTCCAGGGCTTCGCGCTTTGTCCGCCCAGCAATGAACGCCTCCGTGCGGGCGATGACCACGAAGTCGGGATCCGTCCGCGCTTCCACGGCGGCCTGGATCTTGAGCCCCGTGCTGTCAGATCGCGCTGCACCCCTTCGTAGAAACGCACCATTTCGGGAAGATGTTAATCTCGATGCATACCCCTGCTAAGCCCGCGCGGTCGCATTGGGTGACAATGCGCATCACGTTGATCGTGTTGCCGAACCCGTTGTCGCAGTTCGCTGCGGTCGATACCGGAGTCGGATCGTGGCTCGCTTCGGTTGTATGTAGAAATACTTCTGTGCCTGCCACAGGCTAAGTTAGCTCTTTGAGGGTATGCTAACTTGACTGATCAGTTTTTTTTACTCTTTATCACTTGACATACTCCTCCTAGTCATCTAGAGCAATAGTTATGTATCAATCGACCTATTCATAAGCAGCATAGACCAGCATCGCTTCTTCCTTCTGTGGGGCTCCGAACTTACAGCTAGTGCAGATTCATGATTGGCCATACCGTGTATCAATGTGGAGACAGAGTGGATCAAGGATCTGGGCGCTAAATCTAGGGCTAACATTGCGGGGAATAGACCAGAAAAACCACCACTATGGATCGAAGACTGACGGGTAGGCATCATTGCGCACCTTTCCTAGCAACCAACGTACCACTTGAGTCTCATAGGACATACTACGACAGACTATCGTAATCCACTACGAAATGAACTCCAATGCTAGCCTAGTGCTTACCCAGCAACTCTCATAAATACCCCCTCAGAGTACACCCCTCCTCCAGGAAAGAGCAGTAACCCCCGCCCTCACTATCCAATACAACACATCCGTCACCGGCCCCTGGTCCCAAACCTGCTGGACCCGCGCCGCAGGCTACATCCTCCCGCCAACCGTCACCGAGCTCACGCAAGCCCTCGCGATCCTCAAGGACACCCACACAAAATTCGCTCTCCGCTCGACGGGCCACAACCCCAACGCCGGGTTTAGCAGCGCGGATGGATCGGCGCTCGTCCTGGATCTCAGCCGGTTTCGGGATATGGAGCTCACTGCGGAGAGAGTTGCACGGGTCGGGGCCGGGTGCACCTGGGGCGAGGTGTATGGGTGGTTGGAGGCACGGGGGTTGGAGGCTGTCGGGGCGAGGCAGGTGCAGGTTGGGGTGGCGGGGTTTGTTCTCGGAGGTTTGTTTCTTTTTTTCCTCTGAAACTGAGGTGGGTGGATAGGAGGGTTGAGAAGCTGATACCTGGGAGTTGCAGGCGGAATGGGGGTGTTTCCGAATCTGTATGGGACGGGGGGCGGATGGGGTCCGGAATTTCGAGGTGCATACTTAGGTATTCTTCTTCACCCCAAACTTTCATGGTTTTGACGGATGCGGGTGTCCCAGGTTCTGTTGGCGGATGGCAGAGTAGTCAATGCTCACGCCCACGAAAACCCCGACCTCTACCGGGCCCTCAAAGGCGGAGGCACCAACTTCGGCATCGTGACGCGGTTCGACCTCGAGACCCACCCTCTACGCCCCATCCAATATACCATCGACCTCTACAGCCCTGATGATTATATGGACATCAATAAAGCCACGGCGGCGGTCCAGATGGCCATGGAGGAGGACCCGAAGATCGGACTGTTCACGAACTTCAACGACGGCGTTGTCGCCGTGGGCATGTTCTACGCCGATCACCACCCAGCTGCATCATCACCGTCCGCTTCTGCGTCCGCCTTCACGCCCTTCCACGACCTCCACCCCCGGAAAACGGGGACGGCGCTGCCCACCACAACTGGCACGCTCCTCTCGCTCACCAGAGTCATGGGCCACGCCCAAGATCTACCGGGGAAGCGAGCGATTACCTCCGTGACTACGCGGGTCTCACATGATCTGTATGACCGGGTCTATCTGTGCTGGACGCGGGTGCGCGCGACGCTGCCCGCTGGCTGTGTGCTGCACTATACGATCCAGCCGATGGGCACGGCGGGCGTGCAGGCAGGAAGCAATCGGGGGGGGGGAAATCATGGGGCTGGAGGCGGTGCCGCAGTGCTGGTGGGTTTTTACGTGTGAGTGGTCACAGGAGGCTGGGGTGGAGGTTGATGCTGCGGCGCACCGGGCGGTGCGGACGATGGCGGAGATGGTGGAGGCTCTGGCGAGGAAAGAGGGGGTGTATCTCGATTTCAAGTGTATGAATTTTGCGGAGGCGGGGCAGAAGGTGCTGGGGAGTTATGGCGCGAGGAATGTGGAGCGGATGCAGGCGGTGGCGGAGGAGTATGATCCTGAGGGCTTTTGGCAGGGCTTGCTGTTTGGGGGGTTTCTTTTGCGGGAGAGTTGAGTGTACCAGTGCTCGGTCTATATTAGCTGTTGTCCTTTTCGTCGGTGTCAGGTCTTTAGTGGAATCTGTATGGACTGGCATCCTCAAAGTCGAGGCACTTCGTGACGCAGGAAAATCATGCCTGGGGCTCGGCGTCGAACACATGTTGAAGATAGCTTTTCAGCTGCGATGCATCCTATGTCCCGGCCCCAAAGAAATGGTATAACCGTATTGAGATCCTCAACCTGGTCTTGGCAGAATAGGGGTCGCACATGCTTTTCGAAAATCATGATGAGACCCGACGGGCTGGAGAGAGCGAGCGTATACCAGAACGTTCCCGTCGCCCAGGATTTCTGCATGATTTCGGAGAGTAGCGGGGGCGAGTTCTTGCTATATCCAGCTGTCACCGCGACTGCTCTCTGCTCGACAGCCAGAGCGTCCATAAACTCTGTACGCACCGGATCGTACTCAGAGGCCACCAGCTCATCGACACCCACATTGGTGAGCCAATAGGGAGGCCGAACCATCTCCACCGGCAAAGCGCAAGCCCACTGTAAATCCACCAGACACGTCATATTCCAGTCCGCATCCACAAAGATGTTGCTCTGGTGGAGATCAGTCAGCGAGAACACAAATGGCCCGCGTCGAAGGCCTTTCTGGAAGCTTGATTTGGGGACGGTCCGCATCCCGGCGAGGGAAGCGAGCTCGAACACACAGTCCCTGAGGTCGTTGATTGCGTTAGGCTGATGCCGAAACCGGTTGTCAAGGCAGTCGAGAACATCTGTCACATCGGAGTCCACAGTGGAATACGTATAGACCCGCGGAATGCCAGGAGGTCGTGCTGAGGTACTGATAGATGAGAAACTCCTGAAAGTTTGGATGCTGCCAGACGAGCTTTATACCAAGTGAGCGTTGTTCCAGTCCGACGGCATACTATACTTCCCGAAGAGGAAATCGTATATCGGATTCGTTTTCGCTTATTGTGGGTCTCACTCCAACTCAATTTACACTCTCCACCTTAAACCACAGAATTTGATTGGACTTGGGTTTCAAGCGGTACCTCAATATGGATAGGTACTGTACATCCTACTATGAGTGTCATTGTACCGTAGTTGAAGCTGCTATCCCTATCCATGGCACATATTAGAGCCGCTCATGTTCAGTTCAGCAATAAGGTGGTAGAACCCGATTAAAGAATTGAAAATCTGAATGCACCATGCAAAACGCCCAAGACATGCAAAATCATGTCAAGATCTCACGTGAGGGTAAAAAAAAATGAGCGCAAGACCTGAACGCCAAAGAAAGCCCTATAATGAGGATGGATTTTGAGCGTTACTTGTAAAACCGAAGAGAAGCCATATTATCTTCGATTCGGCTCCCCACCTCAGGTGCTCGACCAAAATCGGAGGCTTTTCACAAAAGCATTGCTGATAACTGTTCAAGTTGATCTTGGTGACTTCTTTTCTTCGAGCTTTTGGGAGGCGTCGCCATGAGTCGTTACCTCGTTACCCCTGAGACTGCGGGGAAGGTCTCACTTTGCCGCGGACCGTTCACTTGCCACTGCAGTCAACTCCTTCGTCATCCCTTTCTCGACCTTCAGTCTTCTATTTTCCACTCATTCAAGTTCCCAAACATACTCAAAGCGACCTAAGCATCGTTTTCACCCAAATGGGCCTTCGGACGCCGCTCTTCAGGAGCCTGCCCTCCCCTTCTCCTGGAAAGGAAAGAAACATGGACGGGTGGCAGTCTTGGTGTGCTTTTGATTGATCGTGGTCACTTACCTTTCCTAGTGCACCACAGTCAGCAAATCTACAATAACTCCCCTCAACCCGATAACGAGTATGTTGTACATACTATTACAAGGATTTAGCTCAATGTTTTTAATCAGCATGGAGTGACATCGTCTCACAACAAGCCCAGCTGGATCTGGAAATGTCAACATGAAACTAGGCAATAACTTCAAACAGACTCAATAATCTATGAGCCGCTTTGTTGTCTCTCGTTCCAGCCGGCCTGTCTACATTAGAAACGGCCCCCTGAGTACAAAGCGCGTACGTCCACCGAGTTCAGGTACGAGTCGAACCTTATTCACTATGCTTCTGAGACCAGAATATGGCCATCTTTACCAGAGATTGATGGCAGCTGCTCGCTGACACATCGGATCTGCCCTGGATGCTTATGATAGAGACAATGATGTAACTGTCCTTCGATCAGTATGCCTGCCTATTGAGACATTCGGCTGTACGTCCTTCAAAGCTCCTTGGTTAGGGATCGCCAGACCCCTATCTTTGACCATGATCTCCCTGAAAAGAAATTTCCCCGATACATGTGCTACTTCACACTCCATCCCACGAAGCGAAAGAGAGCTATAATTATATTAACTCTGCAACTCCCATGCTCAGCAGCTCATTTATGGCATGCCAACGAATGACATGCAAGTGCTGAATATGGCATGAGCTTTTTTATCATGAAGCGCTGCTCCGACACTAATCAAAGCCTAGGTTTCCCTTGTACTTAACCAGCTATTCAGTGTTTCAAAATGCTTCTCATCCCCATATACGGGCCGAGGCGCCGGGACCTGGGTGAATACTCACTTCGGATTGACCATCTAGCCATTCATGGTAAGCCCGCTGATTCACTCCCTCCCGAGTTTCCCCTCACACATCATCCGGGGTTCACTCTTCCCGCGCCAGTCAATTGTCCATCTTGTTCTTCATTCTATACCCTCTCGATTGTACACATTCTTTTAGAACTTTACATCAATGCTCCGTATGGGGCCGATGTGCACCCACCAACCCCTTTTCCTACTTGGGGAATAATGGTGTGGATGTCCCACTCGGACAAGCCCGAGCTGTCACTGCACCTGCACCTGCTTGGCCAAAAAATGGATGCGGAACTGGAGGCAGGTCTACCAGGTTATAGATTCATAACGTACAGGATCCTGAATTAATGAAGCAAGAAAATATGCTACGGTGCAACTTTTCTACTGACTCTCGCGGTACAGCAAAGAGGAGTGTCCAAGGCAGTCATCCCTTGCTGGCAGAAGCTCCGTCCGGGATGATCAGCTAAATCCGCCGATCGGCAGCGCCCCATCCTCTATTGATTCCACATTGCTTGTCCGAAGGATCAAGAACCATTGAGAATCGCCGACCGCTACAGGAGCGCCCTCCCTAGGGTTGATCCCATGCATGGTCTGCATGTTGGCTCAGCTAATGGCCTGGTGTGCGCAGCTCTTCGGTATCTCATCCTACGCTCGTCCGCGACCAAACCCCGCTGATCGCATGGTTCCATGTCAAGATGGACGATTCTTACTGCAATCGTGGACTCTGTTCCTTGAGATGTAATTTTGAGTGTGGCATCTCGTGCTTTTGATCAACGGCATAGCAGATAAGCGAACCACAGCTGATAACCACTAAGAACCCACAATCAACATCGAAACGCGACCATTCACATTCCTACCACTCTTATTGGCCAGTCTACCACTTCTCGAGTCACACCGCGCTAGCCTGCATGCTTTGCAGCTTCAGCCCTTCCAGGCTATGTACTTTTGCGTGGATTGTGCCTCAAGTGACAGGTTCGACATGCCTGCCACTCAAATACGTGGGATACGACCCGGAATTCGAGAGCTTGTTGTGGTGGGGGGCTCTAGGGGCAGATGCGATTCTCCTCTGAAGTCCGCGTATATTTAGAGCAATTTTATCCTTTGACCTTCCTTTCTTCGCCTGCAAAGTACAGCCGTATAGCCCACTGACATGGCTCTTCGAGTTGTGCTTGATCCGCTTGTGAAGCGGAATAACATTCTCGTAAGCCCATACCATGTGTATTCTGTGGGTTGCGTGCTGATTGATTTATCAGAGCTCAGACAATGATCCCAACGTTGGCTCCTCGCGGGGCAACGCCTCCTCGACAAGTTCCGATGTAATAGGAGATTTCGGACTTGGTGGTGGTTCAACTTCCCTTTCAGCATTTCTAACAACTCTGATCCCTGCCTTGGTGATTGCGGCCTTTTGGTTTGGCTTGTTTCTGATCTGTCGACGAACTCAGCTGCGGTGGTATGCACCCAGAACTCATCTGCCATGCTGGCATAAACAGTACGTAGCATCCACTCCACCCTTATATGCTACCACAGGAAGTTACTTAGAAGTTACGTAGTGAGCGAGCGCCACGTTTACCATCAGGATTTGTCAATTGGTTTGGAGAATTCTTTAGGATCAATGATGCCCAGGTGCTGCATAACTCGTCTCTGGACGGCTATCTCTTCTTGCGATTTCTGCGTGTTCTGTCTGCGACATGTTTCACTGGATGCGTGATCACTTGGCCTATCCTTCTGCCTATACATGCCACGGGAGGTGCGGGGAATACCCAACTCGATGCGCTGAGCTTTAGCAACGTCACAGATCCTAAGCGTTATTACGCTCATGCCGTCATGGCATGTATATTTTTCAGTGAGGTGATCTTCTCAGAGTACTTCTGGACGTCGCTGACAGTTGAAAGCATTTGTCTTCTTCGTTATCACGCGAGAGAGCATATTTTATGCCAACTTGCGACAGGCGTACTTGAATTCTCCCGCTTATGCGCGTCGTATATCATCCAGGACGGTGCTGTTCATGTCAGTACCCGAGGAATATAAGAACGAGGAGACACTGCGTCAGGTCTTTGGACAATCGATCCGGCGTATGTGGATCACCTCCGACTGTAAGAAGTTGGACGACAAGGTTCAGAAAAGAGACAAGCTAGCTTATAAGCTCGAAAGCGCCGAAACGAGACTTATTCGGGCAGCGAACTCAGCTCGTCTTAAGGCCATTAGGAAAGGAGCTTCGCTCTCTAAGTCCTGCTTGGAGACTGATGCCTGTCATGATTGTGAAGCGGATACTTCGGGCTGGTATCATGGTGTGCGAAGGCCAACTCATCGCCCCAAGCCTTTCGGCAAGAAGGTTGATACGATCCGCTGGTTACGGAATGAGCTTGTCAAGGTCATTGAAGAGGTCGACGATCTCCAGAAGAAACATAGAAATGGAGGGATGAGAAACCTATCCGCGGTCTTCATCGAGTTTTACACGCAAAATGATGCGCAAATCGCTCTACAAACGCTGTCGCATCATCAGCCATTGCATATGACTCCCCGCTTCATCGGTATCTCTCCCAATGAGGTCGTTTGGTCAGCATTAAATCTTAGTTGGTGGCAGCGCATCGGGCGCAGGTTCTTGGTTCAAGGCGGTCTTGCAGCT